CTAAAAATAAATATAACATGTTTTAAAAGTGAAATTTAAATTATCAAAATTATCTTTAGAAATATTAAAGAAATTGCATAATTATTAACGTTCAAGAAATCTTAACATGTTATATTTTATTTTAAAACTTAAAAATGTGTGTATTAAATCAAATATAATATTAAATCCAAATGTTAATGCTATCAATATCAAATTATTATATCGATGTTATTAAATATTTGAATAAATGGAATATTATTACTTGACATTGCATCTTGATAGCATCATAAATTTATAAATTATAAACTGTAAATTGTAAATTTCAAATAGTTATAATTGTATTTTAGTTATAATCTAACATTGATATTTTAATTGTAAAATACAATACAATTATGACTATAATTATATTATATGAAATTGTATTTACGATTGTAAATTCTTATGTAAATTACACGAAAAATTATCGAAAGTATACGTATAATGATTACATAATAGTAATTAACATAATAGTAATTCATTAAAGTATTTATTTCTGTAGTATATATTTTTGGACTATTCATAAAAGAGTAATTGTTTGTATTTTCATGTCAAAGAGTCATTAATAAATTCGGAAAATTTTTATATAAAATATAAAAATTCGATGCTAAATTAATGATTAAATATAAGCATTATAAAATTTGACGGACGCCTTCGTTACAAACTCGCGAGTCAATTATTATAAATTTAATGATATGCTTTCCGTTAGCTTTATTTATTTATGAATTCCATATCGCGCGGAACTGAATATTCTTAAAATAAATTATTAAATTATGATTACAAAAATACCATGTTCTTTCCGCGTTCTCTTCGCGTTCTTGTACAAGATTATCATTTTAACAAAAGAATTTTATCACTGTTCCTCTCGTCAGATAATATTCCTAAATATTGCTAATTAAATATAAAGAAATGTCAAATAAGAGAGTGAAGATTCGATGTGCTAAGTCAACGATTAAATATTAACTTTACAAAATTTAACGATCACCTTCGATATTATAGAATCGCGAGTTAATTATTATGAATTTAATAATTTGTTTTTTCAGTTATATTTGTATTCACAAATTTTGTATCGGAAAATATTCATAAATAAATTAATAAATTATGGTTGCGAAATCACCGTGTTTTTCCTACATTCTTTTCGCGTTCTTAGACGAGATTGTCGTTTTAATAAAAGAGTTATCATTGTTCCTTCCGTTAAATAAACGTTAATGAAAATTGCGTGGCTCATACCGCCGAGGAATCGAAACGATTTTCATCATGGAGAATTATTTCTTACCGATTCTTGTGAGATCCATTCGCAACGTCTAGTTCAATGTCCTGTTGAAAATTGGGAATTTTTATTGTAAGATTGAAGGAACTAATTCCAGGTTTTCCTGGCAATTTCTGAAAGCAATGATTTTGATAATAATTCAACGACGAACGCTTCAACGCCATACGCTTCTTTAAAGTCGAATTAATAATAAATAATGTATATTTAGATGAAAGAAATGTATCTTTTCTTTTCTTCGTTAAAAATGTTCTATCATTATTAAGATTATTGATATTATTATTGTCTAATGCCAGAAAGATTTAATAGTAGATTAAATATGGATATAGCGTTGTTTATAAATTTTTATTTTTCAAATAATTTCATATTGTGATTAATTTTTATTAATTTTTTGATAAAAATGATTACGAACAAATATATTTTTAATTATTTTTAATAATTTGTCTCTCTTTTGAAAAATTATTTCTAGGTGCTGGGGATATTAACATTAATTTTTAGTTTCTTTTAAGAAACTATTTGCAGGTATTGGACATCCAGCCATTAGCCACTTTGAAATATAAGTTTTTAGATATATACCATTATATATATATATTTATATATATATATATATATATATATATATATATGTATGTATAATAAAATACATGCAAATTAACGTATCCAAAATATTTTTATAATTTTTATTAATATGATACATTATATATACGCGAAATTATATATGAATGTTACATAAAATGTGCGAATACTTGAAAATTTCGAGACAAATCGAATGGGTAGCTCTATATTAGTAAGATATTGATTAAAAGAAAAAAAATTATTAGTTTAAACGTTATAAGAATAAGAATCTAGAGAATTAATCTAGAATTAATTATTTAAAATTATTTGATTTATTTTATTTTGCACACTATTTGAACTGAAATTTTTTAAATCTTGCTGATATCGGATTCGATTCGTCTCGCGCGTGCGAACGGTATCTCAAATTATTGTATTCGCACATTTAACACAAACTCCAATGATGCACGTATTTTATTATTTATAAATATAATCGTTTGTAATCACATTTTTATAAAAAAAATCGTTATATCCATTTAATTTTCAATAAAGATATATATTTCTTAATAATGAAAGAACATGTTTTCTGACGTGAATATTAATTTCGTGAATTGAAGACAATGACGAGGGATAATTGTTTCGTCGTTGATATATTACTGAAATCATTGCTATCGGAAATAGTCCGGAAGATCCATGATTCGTTCCCTCTTATAATAAAGTTCCCGACGTTCAATGGATCACTTAGCTTTTCTTCGCAGATTGATCTTGCGAAATTTGATGTAGAAACAAAATATTAATCGTTCCCCATTTTTAAAATCGCTCCTCTTTTTATCGGATATTTTTATCGGTATGTCACTCGCATATCTGTTGATTTCGATTATTATATTATAAAAATTATGTGCAATCAAATATTTTAAATATTATCGATTTATTTATTCGTCGCGTTTTCTCCGAAATTTTAAATCGCGATTTATCTTATAATTTAATATAAATTATAATTATCTTAAAATTTAATCGTTGACTTATACATCAAAGCTTTGTCTATCTTTCCACGTCTTTAAATATTGTCTTTAATAATCCGCATAAAATCCACTAATAATATAAATATTTTTTTCTATTAAAAACGATAACTTTATTAATGACTGTTTTAATCGCGATTGTTTACACTAGATAAATCTTATTAAATTCTATTATTACATCAATTATTACCCTTGATAAAATCATTCAATTCTCTATTAAACGTGGCGATAACGCAATTTTTTAATTATATTTTAAAGCTTATAAAGCTGTCATTTTATCTTATTTAGCTAATTATGCGCGAGATAGAATATGTATTTTATTCTCAATTGAGATTCGTATAAAATCGCGTATTAATCACAAATAAATTGGACAGTGAATTTTATGTTCATTCAAACAATACGAACCACAAATGTTTATCAAAATATCTTCGTGTATCATCATTTGTGTGATAATAATTATGTCACGCGCGTATCTATTGATGGTTTTGTTCATCATATTATAAAAATTATACGTATATTTCTCGTAATCGATATTCCGATTATTATCGATTTATTTATTTGCGTTTTCTCGCGAATTTTAAATCGCGATTTATTTTGTAATTTAATTGTTGATTTACATCGAAGCTTATTTTATTTTTTCGTATTTTGAATATTTCCTTTGATAATTTACACAAAATGCGCCAATAATGTAAATACTTTCTTGTACAATCGAAGAAATGATCAATAATTTTATTAATGACTCTTTTAATCACTATATTACGTTACATAAAACTTATTAATTCTATTATCGCATATATTATCGATTATTAATGATAAATGTTGCGTAATTAATCATCGCTAATCGGGCTTATCTGAACTATATAAAAAATTTTAGTAAATTTCATATTATACGTATATTTTGGACATTTTCCCGTAATAAATTATTCCATGTAATAAATAAAAATTATTTTGTATTAAGCATGACAAATGATGGTAATTCTTATGATTTTATTACCAAGGAATACAATAATCCTAGAACTCGAATAATAAGAACTCCATAATAAAAACTTGAGGAAGAGAATATATTGGATAGAAATGCATAATAATTGGAAATTATTAAAAATTAAAAGACAGTATGAATACAACCTATTTATTAATAGTAATACTATGTTGTAATTATATTAAATTTTATAATTTAGTACATTGTATTATATAAAGTATTCGGCATAAAAATATTATACTGGTATAAAAATTATAATAAAAATATATAAATAATGTTGGCTGTATTAAAATAGAACTTATGAATTCTTTATATTTTATGTAAAGAAAGAGACATTTAAAATATTTTATCACATCTATATTTTTCGAATCTTAATTATAAAAACTTTAGAAGAATCAGTGATTAATTTGACAAATTCTATACACATATTAATAATTAAATTTAAATTTAAATTTAAATTTAAATTAATAATTAAATTTAAATTTAAATTTAAATTTAAATAAATAAAAAAATGATTAATAAATATCAAGGATCAGTTTACTATTAATTAAGATTTATAGAAATAACGGTTAGAATGTTTTTATTCAGCAGTCATTTTGTGTTTTGTAAATAAAAATTATATAAATATGGTAATAAATATAGAAAAATATTTATTTCATCTTTGAACATTACATTGGAAGATTACAGTATCTTTCGCGATTGAATAATTTATTTATTATCAATTTATATACATAAGTGTCTTGTTATACTCTGGTGTTACCGGCATTTCGTGCACATAGCACGGAACGAAACCAGAAATTGTGCACATTATACCCTCTGAGAACATTCATGGATATGGCTTTGTAGTTCATGTCCACGTTTTCAATGTTCATAGAGGGAGTATCGCTTTCAGGGATCACCTAAAAGCAGGCCATGACATCTCTTCTCTCTGGTTTGTTTCCTAGGAATTCTAGCTAGAGGTATTTTATCGTAGCTCTATTATTGGATATCGGACGTCGAACATACATCGTAACATCGGACGCAGTGTGAATCTCCCATTAAACCTGTGCGAATGGCCTGAAATTGCGCGCGCATTCTCCACTCGACGCATTCTCCGTCTATCTAGCATAATCGCAAACCCCGTGACGATAAAGCGTTGTCCAGTGTCGACGCCCAGTTGCGCGTGAGTGTTTAACTTAAATTTGGTACATCCTGTTTAGATCGTTAGCAAGTGATTACGTCTGTCGTTGACGCGGAATAGACTAGTAGATTTGTTTTTTACTCGCATCGCACGATATTTCTATCGCACGATTCCACCGTACGGTGAAGTGTATTTGACATAATGCTCAAAATGGCGACTCTGAAAACAATGGGCCTCCGGTGCACTTGTACGCCGCTCTGCAACAAGCTCTCCGATCGTTTTTCTCGTCTGTCGCGCTAGATTTAACGTCAGCCGAACCCGAAACGCAAGGATTACGCAAATCTTACGTACATACATATACGTGAATGCACACGCGTATACAATCGGAGTGAATTCTCGAGTCAATGAAACAGCAAGTTTTCCCGCACGTCGATCCTTGTATAGTAATCTATACCTTGTATAGTACAGTTTTACGACATTCGTTTGTAAAAGATGCTTGCACGAAATAATCTGTCTGCAATTGTCGTACATACATATGCAATTAAATTCATTGCGCAATTTGTTTTCACCGGCATCGATCATCTTGTTCCTATTACAGAATGAGAGAAAAAGATGAACTAATACTGACTAGAATTGATTTGTTTTTTTTTTTATTTCTTTACCAGACAAAAAAAATGTTACAATAAAATTACATTATCTAATGTCAAATTTTATTTGCATCTTATAATTGTATCGAGCATTCACTCAGGATATCAAAATAATATTCAATATCATGATAGAATACATCTAACATTGTATATGTGAATGAATATCCTTAAAATAATATATTTGATCCATATCTATATATATGACTTATATGTTGATTATAGCATAATTAATAAATAACGACACACAAGCTGTAATTTATACACATATATATATATATATATATATATATATTTACTTATTTATTTATTTTATATATATATATATATATTTATTTATTTATTTTATATATATATATATATTTTATACATTACATACATTACAACCAAGTTATTACAATTAATAAATAGAGTCATTAAATAATTGTTACATCCTTGATATAATATTTGAAATTTGAATTTAAATAATATTTTGCCACAATTTTTATTTTTCACAGACAGAAGTCAAAATGCAGACAATAAAATGTGTCGTAGTGGGAGATGGAGCAGTTGGTAAAACTTGTTTATTAATCTCATATACCACGAATAAGTTTCCATCGGAATATGTTCCAACAGTATTTGATAATTATGCAGTAACTGTTATGATTGGCGGTGAGCCATATACATTAGGATTATTTGATACAGCCGGTAAATATTATTATTAGTGTATATATTTTAATCTAATTATTTACAATAAACTATTTCAAATGATATAATAATATATTTAAATTATATATCTTAAATTATATATCTATTATATGAATAGTACGAAAGATGACAAAATTATATTAGCAATAATTTATTAATGCTTTGGAATATTTTACAGGCCAGGAGGACTATGATCGTTTGCGTCCATTAAGTTATCCACAAACTGATGTATTTCTTGTTTGCTTCTCAGTTGTATCTCCATCATCATTTGAAAATGTTAAAGAAAAGGTACAATATGATTCGAATTATGATTATTATAATATTATTCAATGTTTCATCTCTAATATTTTAATGTATTAATAGTGGGTACCCGAAATAACACATCACTGTCAAAAAACACCATTTTTGTTGGTTGGCACACAAATTGATTTACGGGACGATGCAGCAACAATTGAAAAGCTTGCAAAGAATAAGCAAAAAGCAATTTCGAATGAACAAGGGGAAAAGCTTGCTAAGGAATTAAAAGCTGTAAAATATGTAGAATGTAGCGCTCTTACACAGGTATGATAATTATTTATTCTGCACCAAACAATATAGTCAGAAAGATAACTCATAAAAAAAGTGTTAAAGATTATAATATTTATACATTGCTCTATGAATTCAATAGTTCTTCTTCACCACAGAAGCTACTTTTCTAATATTTCAGAAAGGACTTAAAAATGTCTTTGATGAGGCAATATTAGCGGCTTTAGAGCCTCCAGAACCTGTTAGAAGAAGAAGATGTACCATTTTGTAGTAGGTTTGACTTTTTTTTATAAAACTGTTAGTTCTACAATGATGAAGACTGTAAGTTTCCTTATATACATTGCATGCAAAAAGTTTAGTGACAATTGTTAAATTCTAAGGCATATAATAAGTATTTTTCAACATTGACGGCATATACGTGAATATGAAGCAATTTTTATCCACATTGGCATATATCATATGAATTTATTTTATGATTATTAAATTATAATTGTAACATTATCATATTACCTTCATCTTAATGAATTTCCTAATAATATATTTCACATCATTCCGCGCATCTCTGTATTTGCATTATAGTGATCAAATGTATCGACTATCCCATGTTCTACTCAACACGAAAAAAATGTTTGAAAATTTAATAATGACATTCACATTATTCATTTGTAAAGAAAATATAAATTTCATTATATGTATATACATTTTTAATAGTTTATATCAACTCTTACTAGTTTTATATATATATATATATATATATATATATATATATATCAACTATTTCATAAAGAAATAGAAATTTATGTTTTCTATCATTTATAATCTTTCATAGATTATGATGTGACATACACGTATATGTGAAAATGTAATACTATTGATTTCTGTATTATGTATTCTTTCTATGATGTATCTTGTATATTAAGTACAAGTTTTTTATCTTTTTAGGCGAATAATGTACTCGCCTTTTAATTCTTTAGCAATTCTTTTGTAGCAATCTGTACCTATAATGTATATATTTACTACAAACGTAAATAATTATTGATATATTTATATAATTCATCAAATTTTTGCGTTCTAACTCACAAAATAAGCGATTTAATGAAAAATATACTATAAAATGTGATGTAACTTACATGTATCATTTTTTGAAACAGGGAGGGAAAAGAGATAAAAAAATTGTTTCTTACTATTATGTGCAGGATCATGTAGTAGAAGTATCGTACGCGTGTGTGTCTAAACAAAAGTTCTGTTATAAGATCTGTAATCTTCTTAGCGGCCATATCGATATATTAGTAAAATAAATAATTGCGTTAATGTATTTGATTAATGTGTGTGACTAATGTATATTTTATATATTTTTATGTTGCAATCGAGTATTAGTCATTTATAATTACACCTGATTTAATTATATATGAGGTATAAAAATAACTTTATTTTATCAGCTCTTTTTTACAGTGATTATAGTATAAAGAACATTGACGTCAATTATCTAATTCATGTAATATGAATAGCAAAAATATGTTATTAACTAATATATTCTATAAAAATGTAAAATGTTCTAAACTCCTATTTTAGGTAATATAGTTTTATTTTCTTTTTCTTAATTATTTTCTTAATTATTGTCAAAAATTAAGTCATTACATATATTATGATTTCTTTAAGTTAAATATTTTGTTAAGATAATCCATACCAGATATAAATTTATTTTATCCATTAGTTATATATATGTATATATATATATATATATATATATATATATATATATATATTTCAGAAAACACATAAATAGACTAACAATAAGATGATATAATTACAATTTTCAATTTGAATATGAAATATAATAATAAATATTAGAAATTTTCGATTCTTTATACATTTCTTATTAATAATTATATTACTGGTACAATATGCATATATATACAAATAATAAAAATAATATATAATCAGATTCTTTGTGAAACTATCGAATATTAAAAGTTTGCACGAGCCAAAAGAACCTGGACACGGCATAAGAACCTAAAAGTTTTATTTTAAATATATAATACTAATTTTTTCTATATATAAATATATAATACTCACTTTGTGACTGTATTATCTATTCGACTGTATATTATCTTTAACTCAATAACCGGATCGAATAATTGTGAAAATCGTGAGTTCAGGTTCATACCTCTTTTTATCGCATACATCTGATCGAAGAATTTTAACAATAAGTTAGATTTAGAAGCATATGTAAATAGAATTTCTATAGTTATTCTAACACGTTTAATATCAGTATTATTTTGTAGATATATCTTTTTCATTTTTATTAATTGTATCACAATTTACCGGAAATTAGATATGTTCACGAGTTTCTCTAAAATACGAATAAAATTTTAACCGAATTAAAATTTTCTTAGCATCTTGCTAATAAAAAATTTCCTTCATAATAATCAAACTTTTTTTACTTGATGAGAGCAAAGAAATTTACTCTGAAAGAATACCAGAGGCTAAATAAGATTAATTACTTGTTTAATAATGATCATATCCAAATTATAAATCATATTATACATAAAATAAGTTAAAAATTATTAATTTGATAAGTACCTAAAAATTTTTATAAGATTATGCACGTGTGCGTGCGCGTGTGTATTTGTTTTTATTATTATACAGAGTGTATCATTTTAAGTGATGCAGTGGAATATCTCGAAACCATAGCGATTTCTGTGAAAATGTTTTAAATAAAAGTTGTATGGTTTTACGGGGGCCATAAGATGGTGTCATTTTTCATCAAAACCGTCATGGTTTCGAAATAGCTGCATCACTTAAAATGACACACCCTGTATATAAGCAGGAAGAATATTTATATATTTCTATCATAGTTCAAGTTTTTTGTGTATTACACTGATATTTGATTACACTTTTGATTTTCGAGTGATAAAAATAAAAATTAAATAATACAATAATACAATCCTATTTATACACATCTCTTATAGTATTATAATTAGCGAATTAATTCATAATTTTTCATTTTTCATTCATTTTTAGAATATATTATATAGAAATTATATAAGAAATATTTCACAATCTGTAAATGTAAAAGTCAGTCAATATAAATGTAAAAGTACTCCTCTACTTTTCAAAAAAACAAAAACTCGATACAATGTCGTAATATGTAAGACATTTGTAAAATAATAGAGATTGCTAGTATGTGAGTGAATCTTTTGATAAATTTCTTTTCGGCATCTTTCAATTTTGTACACACAATTGTAATTATTATATTTGAAAACTCTTATATGTATATTTATCTTTTTCTTTTTATTTTCATATACAATGTATGTTCAAATATTTCATTATTCTATTACTACAATGAATTGTAGCAATGCAGCCATAAAAATTCACTACAATTTTTATGATCCGATTTATCTGCATTGATCGTTGAAATATTTGTATAACATAAATCCAATTTTGAATATTATTATCAAATAAATAACGGTTTGATTCGAATTTGGATGAATATCTATGTAACTCCAGTATGGTTGCACATATTAGTCTGAATTTTTTGTCTGTCGAATGATATAATCCAATTAAAGTGAGCGGAACGTAAACTGAGCGTTAATTGGAGCGTGCGTGCTGGTTCTTTTATGTAGAATTCACAAGCTGACACGGATATTCTGCAATTTATTCGGACAATTGTTACAAGTCGTTCTTCCCATTTATTCAGTGGAAACTGAGAAATAATATATAATTTATTGCAAGCGAGAGATACAGGTGATAAAATTATTAATGTTAATAAAGATTAAATATTTAGTAATTTCAAGTATAGCTGTTTTAAAAATATATAAAATGTAGAATTACTCATATGCCTTTATGGAATAATGACAGAAAATGAATCCTAAACAATGAATGTTATGTAACTATAGTATTCTATTATTAATGATTATAAAATCATAAACAGATAGAGAAAAGATTATTCATTCGATGAAATGTACTTGAAATAGAAGAATGTGTACGTTCAAGTTGCAAGAATAAACGTTTCCAAGAATTCAGGCCTTCTCATAAAGCTTATAAATAATGACGCAATATAATTATGTATATAATTAATAAATATAATTAAGACAAAAGGATATATCATACTAAAATGGAATCATTTTAAAATATTTTAAAAGTATTTTATTATCAACTTGATACATCATGCAAAAATGTAAAGTAATGCTTATCTATATTTAAACGAGAAATAAACACAAGATACACGTAATAGCATAGTAATAAGAGAGAATACATAAAGTAATAAGAGAGAAATTAACGCCTGAAAAATGCCTAAAAATTTAAAATTAACTAATAATAAGCTCTTATTTCAAACAATTCAATTTTGTAAGGAATGTAAGGGAAATTTTTTGATATATTTAGGAGTCATATATTGTCAGCTTTCGCTTATTTCAAATCACGAGATTATTAACTTTTAAAAATTAAGCAAGAAAAAGAGAGACATTTTGATATCAAGATAAAGATATTACTGAGGAATGCGTAAGTTTTACGATAAGAAGGAATGTTTTTTGATGGAGCTCAGAAAATTGCTACTCTATTTTGATGCATATGAAAGAAAAAGAGACGCGAAGGAAACAGCCGGAAAATTGACGGAAATCTTGTAAAGTATCGTGTATTTCTCTCTTTTTTGATTTTTCGATCTATTTCGAAAATGGATATACCTGCGAATTTACGACAGACCAGCAACAAATCAGCCGACATCAGTGGAATGAAAGTCGTCCTTTTCTTTTTCTTCTTTTTGTTTATACTGATTATAAGTAGAGGATTCTAGATCTTCTCTAACTTTCATTCTACCAACCAATCAATATGTTAAGTGCTTCTCAAGTCTTAGTATAGTGAAGAAATTTCACAATATTTTGCAAGACTGATAATGACCATAAACTGATAATTGAATTAAGGGTCCAGTCTATTCTAGCAGTAAGTGAAAAATTAATGATTTCTAGGAATTTTTATTTTATTAAAGAATTTAGAAACGTAACAAAAAGTAATATTCTTTTAAAATTAGATATTTTACTGAAATTTTTTCATCTCTAAAGATCAGAAAAAAATATATTAAATAATATTTTTAAGTTTTCGAATTAGGTTCAGTATCTGAAAAATATACTACTATTGATATTGAAAGAAGGCTAAATATTTAAGATTTAAAAATACTAACATACTGTTTAAACATCAATAAAAACATATATAAAACATTAGAAAAATCAATTTCTAATATTCTTCCAAAAAAATTTCTAAAAATCATCAATTGTGTAATAAAGTTAAGGATGTTTTGTATGTACATTCCCAGCAAAAAGTAGCTGAAAATCAATATTGACGAATATTCACTTTTGGTGTATTTTGAGTATGAGAAATTGTGTGGAATATTACAGTTTGATCTTAGCTACAGTGCAGAAATGTATTTTTTAATATTTATTGCGTTTTTACTGAAATATTCCGAATTTTGTTAATCGAAATGATTAACTTTTAGCAGAGAATTTCGCCTTGTGACAGATACATGGCTAACTTCATTAAATTATTTTTAATATCTTTTTAACCAGTTAGTACTTATATAATATTATTTGACCAAATATTTCCTCTGCATCTAAACTTTTGCAAATTTTAAACAAATTCTGAATATTATTTCCATGTGTTTTTGTCATTTGAACGACATGGTTATACGTTTCTCATAAGAACACATGTTAATTCGGTGCAAATTAAAATCTTTATAACTTGTGAACGCTTTAGTGAATCGATTTCAAAATTGTACTGAAGATTCTAAACATGTAAGGACATTCTGTAAAATTTTCATTAAATTCTCAATATTTTGAAAATAGGTACAAAACATCCTTAATTGAATTTTTAACAAAAATCTGACAGTGTTCTACAAATTGCTACAAGTTTAAGAATGTTGCACATTGTTGTCTGATCGCTGTACAAAAATTGGGTCCAATGGAAAGTCGCTGTCGCCTACAATCAGCGATGACAGTGTTGACGATAGTGGAGACGGTGATGGTAGCGTCGGCGGCGGCGGCGGCGGCGGCGGCGGCGGCGGCGGCGGCGGCAATGGCGGCGGCGGCGGCGCCGATGGACGGTAGTCTCGGTCGGCGCGTCACGGACGACGCGCACGGCGCACGTTAACAGACGTCGCTCTCAGGAAGAGCGCTAGTCGTACGAGCGGAGCGAACGAGGCTGCTCCGTTTCATTGATCTTTTCTCCCGCGGAGTTGGTCTCATCGCGAACCGTCTCACTTCGCGACAGGGACGATATTCTCGCGAAAAGAGGATACATCATCTCATACATCATCTCAAACGACGACGACGACGACGACGATGACAATAAAATCCGCGCGGACGCGATCGTTCCATCGATGAACCCACGTTACTCCCAATTGTAATTTCTCGCGGAGGGAGAGAAGATCTCGGAGCGCTCGCTGCTGAATTGTAATTGCTAGTAGCCTGACGACGATCGCAAAGGACCACCTATCTATACCGCGGAGTCGCGTCGGTGGTCTCCTCTCGACATTCGTCAAGCGAAATCGATAAACGGGGACGTCGCGAAAGAGAAAGAGAGAGAGAGAGGGAGAGAGAGAGAAAGAGGGACGGGCGCTTACGCGCGCACGTTACGATTCGTGAAAGGTACGAAACGAGGCCTCGCGACAGAAAGAGAAAGATAATTGCGAGAGTGTGACACAGCGAGCTTGGCGGATTCGAGGCGGTGTAAAAATTCGCACGACGTTTCTCTTCACACGTCGAGGAAAGCGACAACGCGCGTCGGCCCCACGACGCTAATTCGTTGATTCGCGCGTTTGTATCTTCCTGTCAAAAATTGCGACGGGGAGTCCCGCGGATTTCGTCCTTCGTCTCGGACGACGCGCGACGTCTCAATGAAATGTCGCGGTCGCACGACGTATCATAGTAACCTTGAGACGACACTGTCAAGGTAACTAGCTTCCGCGAGAACCTAGCTTCACGATCGTCCTCATCCTCGTATCAATTCGTCGTTGAATACCGAAACGGCGCGATTATCCGCGAAATGAAGAGGAACTCGAGCGTACCCCGATCGATAGGCGCACGGCCTTCGCCGGACTGACTTCCTCGCGCACGCAACGCGAGCGAGCATCGTTCGCCATCGGGGAACACGTGCATCGACGACGACGACGTTGGCGGGTTGGATCGGTCAGTCGATCGTCGCCAGGCAACCGGGGAGAAGGTCGAAGCATGTGATTACCACGGTGGTTTCATCGATCACACGCCGATCACCTTGAGGGAGAGGGATGTTGCGACCGTTCGACGGCAGGATCACTTAACGACGGCCGAACGTCGATGGCCGACGCGACGACGGGGTTGCCAGACAATGAACGATAAGGGTGGCGTATAAAGACAGGTGGATATCGCTAATCGCGCAGGAAAGTATACGCGCTCTGCTGCCGTGGGAACAGCAAGCGTGAGGAACAGGTAGGAAGCCGTGGCACACAGGTGGCGGTGGCAAGGACGGATAGCGAGGAGGGAAAGAGAGAGAGAGAGAGACAGCCCATGAAAGAGAGGAGAGAAGAATAATCGTACTATATTGTCCTGGAGAGGAAGGGCTGAGCCCCTGTAAGGACTGTAAAAAAAAGTATATCGTAAAGCAAGAAAGAGAGAAAGAGACTAACATGTCAGTGTAGCAAATGATACGGAAAGAGAGAGAAAAGGAAAGAGAAAGAAGGAGACGAATTTAAAAGGAGAAAAAAGAACGGACACGCACGAAACCGCGAATAATGAAAGAACACGGAAGCAAACATCCGGCGGAACCGGCGACGAAGACGCTCAAGTCGTTACTGAAGAAACCGGGCCAGACGAAAGCCAAATCGCAGAAGCATCGAGTGGTGATCAACGAGAAGCTGAATGAGTTCTTCGCGGCGGATTACATCATATTAATCAAGGAGGAGTGTTGCGCCGATTACGAGGAGGACTGCGACTGTTGCTACCAGGAGCACGAGTTCATGCGGCTGGGCAATTGCAAGGAATGCCGGGCGGAATTGAACCTGCACTTCGGCCTCGGCAATGGCAGATACGGCGAGATGGCGAGAGGGGTAGATCAGACGTTGTGCGAGAACGCCGCGCGTGGAGGATCCCGCGGAAAGAATCAGCAAGGTCGCGAGGACTCGCAGGAGGACGAGGACGAGGAGGATGAGGAAGCGGATGACGGCGAGGAGGAAGAGGACGATGAAGAGGAGCGAGAGGACGAGGAAGAGGACGAGGTCGAGAATGTCGATGGGAAGACGGAGAGGATGACAACGACGTCGACGGCGACGACCTCGGTGGAAGGGAAGAACGCGAGCGAACGAAAAAATGCGGACGCGGAGGACGGGACGAAGGGACGCCGATCGAAGGAGACCGTGGATTCTCAGGAGGAGAACGGAACCGTAGTTCCGCCACCACCGCCGCCCCCGCGGCACGAGCAACAGGAAACGTTAAGCCCACCAGAGGGTTACAAGGACGTGTGCTCCAACAGCGAGATCGCGAACGAGACGGAGCAGCATGGCCGTACGTGCACGGAGTGCAATTATTATCAGCAACAAGCTACGGGTGAGTCGAGTTCTTTCTTAGCCTTGCTGATAAACTTGAACTCATTTATTTTCTCAATTAATACTTGATAAAACATGGAAAAGGCACCTTCTCCTCTCCTTCTCATATATTATTTTTTTTCTATTGTATTCGGTTATCTTTAAAAAAACGAAATATATTTGTTCTTACACTATTTTTGTCCTTTTTATATTGTAAAATTCAAGGATAAATATATTTCGTTTTTAAAGATAACAGAATAGAATGGAAAAAAATTACATATATGTATATAATAAATAAACAAATATTATTTAAAAAAATATTTCTACTTTTTTATATTAAAGAAAAGAAAGATTTTATATATTTTATATATGTATCTAAATTAATTCTACTTTGTATGTATATCTTAATGAAGAAGAACTATATATAAAGAATAATTTTAATTAGATAATTGCCGAAACTGACAAAATTATAGACAATTATGAAATGGGAATATAGATTCTCTAATAATTCTGTGCAGATTTTTCTCTCGTAGAGAGAAAGTCTAATTTGTTTGGTAGATTTTATCGATCAGATTCTCATTTAGATAGATTATAGAGAGTATGAAGTATGACGGAGAAAGAGGGGATGATTGTAGATTGAAAGTGTTATCTCCAATAATTGAATGGAAATATACTAAATCACCATCATTACATGTTATATATCATATCATATATTATAAGTTAAGTCATTATAATCAATAATTAATTTTTCGTAAGTAACAATATGTTATTTGTTTTGTCAATTTTGTACGTTTTATTTTTTTTATATTAAAGAAGTAATATATGTACAATATTTAAAATAATAATATATAAAAATAATAATAATTTATATAGAACAGCTATATCACATATATACAACAGTTATCGGAGTTGTTATTAGTTAAAAGCACGTATAAATATTTTTTGTCACAAAGAAAAAAACAATTTCATAATGTTTTGTAACTGGTCACATAACACAAAGCTTGATATAACATGTAATAAACCAGAGTGCGCATTTGAAACTTTCATATTCAGAAAACTTCTGATGCGTATTTTATATCGTTAGTTAGAGAAGGAAAAAAACTCTATGTTATTATCTAACAACTCTACAGTTATTATCTAACAACCGTATAAAATATTCGCCAGAAATATTCGTAACATTAATTTTCTCTGATATTGAATTGTAACGAATTTAACAATAAGATGCATTTTATTTCAATTGACCTTTATATCACAGGTATTGTTATATTTTACACAGGTGTGTTAAAAATTACACACATCTGCTCATTAAAAATTCAATTTTTAAACTGGATTTTCTGCGCAAGAATTGTTTTAATATTTTATTGCCTCAGTTTTCGGTTCATTGATTATCGAAAATTATCTTGGTCATAAAATTATAAATATGATTATTATATTAGAAATAAAAAATTCAATATTATTTATTAAAAATACTCGTACTATTAATTTATACAATATATATGCCTGTTTATAATTTTATCACTATAGATATTTACTGATAATATATGATATGATTAAAAATATATTTTTTTTATCGTCCAATTATAATATGTTCTAAAACCATGTTATTTGATGGTATAGAATTCAAACTAAATTTAACGTTCGATATATTATAGATATTTATTTTCTCTTTTAATGTCAGTTTAACCCCCAAAAATATAACAATTGTCGTATCCATCTTTGTTTTTAAAATTGGAAGAAAGCATAAAGGCACGTGAAATAATTTGTAAAAAAAAATAATTTCAAAGTCATGTTTCAAACGTATCGTTGCTTGTTATATTTCAATATATGCATATTTAATGTAATGTATTAATATAATTCATATATAATATGATATGTTTTACATGCATTATTGTACATAATGAAAGTTATGATGCCATATATCAAAAGTTAAATCTATCAGCTTTAATGGAAAGCTGCAAATTAGGAGAATTGCATCGTTGTTCAACTCTTTTCTCACACATAACTGAGAAACAGTCCCACGATATCCCTCCGCACCGGATGTGTATATAATAATGGTATTGTTTTTCATGAATCTAGCTACGCTCGGTAAACCATTTAAGAACATAGTAGAATTTTTATGCGCATTCTTTCAAATACCAAGAGAACTCTTCAAAGAAAAAATATCTGTACTTATGAATATTCATCATTATATTTGAATTTGTTAATTATAATAATAATAATTTATAATAATAATTATTATTATTATAATTATAATAATAATATAATAATAATTGCTCGACATTCATATTTTTTAAAAATAAATAAGGAAAAAATAATAAGGCTATATATATTAATTAAAAAAACGACATCTAAACTTGATCAATCTGAAAACTTTAAGGAAAAATAATTTAAAACTATGTAGTATATTCTGCATACAATGAAATGCATAATTCATATATTTATCGATTAAAAGCCTTGATTAGATTTATGGACGCAATCACAAAATGCCAATGCATGTAGATGTAGAGTATAGGCTTATTCGCGTATCAACGTTCACCGGAAGCGCGGCGTAGCGTAACTCCGGTACTTCCCTGATACTCGGTAAGAGCACTTATATTTCTAACCAAACGACTCGCGCTTTACGCTAGAGAAACAAAAGTCTCCATTAGATGTTACAGTATTTGAGTTCTATAAATTTTTCGATTGTCGTACAAAAGAAAGCAAAAAAAATTCAGCAAAAAAATAAAATATGATCAGTGATCATGATGGTCATCACACACAGATGTGATATGTGGACAAATTATTTCAATATGAATATTAAATTCGTAAAATCATGTAAAATATCTCATATAAAAATTCGCACAAAAGAGTCTTTATTTTCATATTTTAAATTTGCAACAGGTTGCGGTTTATATATGAATGTGTGTAAGCAAAAATAAAAGACAGTTATTTGATGTTTTCATGAGTAACTTCCACTCTTTGCATGTCGTACCTCACTTTAAAGTGACAAAAATCACAAAATGATGTAATAAAATTCTAGAGAACAAATTACATAATAACACGCAAAATGCATAACACGTTTTATTACAATATAAAGTTATGAACAAAGTACCTTGTATCTATGTTTGCAAACATTACTCTTATAAATAAAATGATTCGTGTTTGAAATTCATGAAACAAAATGTAAATTTTTTTTTATTTATATAATTTTAACGCATAAAATTGCGATATGATTGAATAAAAATAAATTATCTAATTATTTATTCTAATAATTTTAACGAATCAGTTTGATTTCCTTGCATTGCTAAAGAATGTGATATATCGTGAAGACAATACGACAATAGATGATAATAGAAGATATATATCAACATATTATTAGTGCAAGTATGTACTGGACTAGAAATTGCATAAGTTATGCAAGCTGTCAATGGCTCATAGTGTGACTTTGAAAGTACATTAATATCGATGGCCATCATGTTTGAAACAATTATAAGCAAAACCATTGATATTCTCAGTCTTCGAGTTTAAACATTCAAAAATTTCTTTTAAAATACTACAATTCTATTATTAAATTTTGGGAGATTTTCTTTCTCGTATTAAGGTTTGCATTTATTACTCTTATAGTTCTTTGATCGCCATACTCTAAGAATACACACACAGAATACAACACGTTATATGTAAATATATTATAGGTACATCAAATTTAAATATAAAATAAAAATTAAAGTTTCCATGTAGCCATGTTTAATCATGAAAAGTAGCGTTGGAACTGTGTTTAATTTTTTAACGAGAGCTGAGCAATCGAGAAAAAAGAATTTAAAAAATTCTAGAAAAATTTTAGAATTTTAGAATTTTAGAATTGTTTTTTTAGATATTATTATCTAATATTTTAGATATTTTTTACTATTTATTACTTTACTCTCTGATAAACTTATAATGTTTACAATTAATACGATCAATATTACATTATGCAATGCGTTAGACTGAATATGTCAAATTTTTCTTGACTTATATAGATCATTTTAATCAATTCAGAAACGAACACGATAAAATGAACACGATAAAATTATTTCAAATTTATAGTAATGAATTTTAATTTAGATCTTGAATATAAAAATATATTTTTCGTAAAACAAAAGAAATTTTTTACAAATTCTTTAACTCTTACCAGAAAATATACAATTTTTCACACTCTATATATCTCTTTCGCGTATCTACTAAGATATCGTGATACAACATGTCTGATAACAGATAAAGCTCCTAACTTTACTGCTTTAAGATTTTAACAAGATATTGCAGAAATGGCATTTGTAGCAGACGCTACGACTTCATTGTCCATGATCATAAAATGGTAGATTTAACAGAAAGTGTAAGGAATTCTGCGAAGATCACATATTACCCAAAAATTATCAGTGAGTTAGATAACATACATTTGACATATCAATTCATTATTTTATTAATTAATAAATATATTTTTAAATATATATTTTATAGAGATTAATAAATAATCTTATAATGTCTATATAAGATATCTATTTAAAAACTTTTCTACTAATAATAATTATACAGGGTGTCCCGGGTTTTTCCGGATAAACTTTAGGAGCTTATTCTACAAGTTGAAATAAGAAAAAAATGTTATATGAAGTTTGTTTGGAAATGCTTTATAACGAAGTTATGAGAAAAAATGTTCACAAACCAATAATAAAGTAAGTCAAACGTGTTTAATCTCTCATTTCGAAGTGTTGTTCTTGTATGTTGGTACAAGCTTCACATGGATTCGATGTTTCATGGAATTTATTACATCACAAATTTCTTGAGCGTTTTGTCGAATTTTAGTAATTGAGTTTGTAATTCGTTGTACTAGTTCAAGTGAAGTCACCTCTGTACGGTAAACCTTATCTTTTTCTAATGTTCCTCATAGGTAAAAATTCATTGAAAATCCATTTATGAAATAGGTAATTTTGAGTAAACACCAAGAGTGTTGTTTGGGACGATATAATCATGTTATTTGTAATAATTTCGTAATAAAGCGTTTCCAAACAAATTTCATATAACATTTTTTTTCTTATTTCAACTTGTAGAATAAGCTCCCAAAGTTTATCCAGAAAAACCCGAGACACCCTGTATATTTATTATAATTATCTATTACACATATTAATGTATGTAATTATGTATTACAGCTATTAATATATAATATTAATTATATATTAATTATATATTCTATAATATTTATTATATATAATATTAATTATACATTAATAACTGTAATACATAATTACATACATATACAACATACTCTGCAATATAAATAAAAATATAAACAAATATTCATTAAAAATATTGTTTCCCAAATTTACTAAAAAATCATGAAAATTTTGAACTAGAAAATACGAATGCAATCTTTATTTTTATGTTTTAGAGTGCGAATCGCAAACGAAAGATCATGGGAATAAACCAGATACACAGGATAACAAAGATATGGTGCATGACGATTGTCAAGGAAATTTACAAGAAAGATTGGATAAACAGCATCGGACATCTCTTCCTGGTATATTTTTTTCTTATTTTATAAATTGACTTGAAATTTGAATCTTTACTGCAGAATCACTTGTTTGTACAAACTATTTTTTAATGAAAATTGACTTATTCTTCATTTTTATTTCTCGGTAATATTAGAGATTATTAGACAATATTTTAAAACTTAGACTTTTTATATATTCTAATTATATATTATACATTCACGCAATTAATAATAATTTATAATAATTTATTTTTGCATATTGCAAAAAGTGTCTACATTACATACAGTGTTACACTTAAATAACTTGAAATAATCTAGATATAAAATAGCTAAAACATACGTATATTTCAGATATTTTAGATAAAGATGATTCCGGTTTTGAAATTATCCAGTTTCTATATCTAGATGAAAAGATGAATTAATTAAATTTGTTTTCTAGATATTTTTAAAATAATATTTAAAATAATTTAAAAGAGAAGAATATTTTACAAGATATGTCATAGTTTGTATATAAAATTATGTCATATTAAAGTATACAATATTTTAAAATTAAAATTAACACTTTGATTCAAATAACAATAATTAAAGAATTAAAAATTGGCAAATAAGCACCACAGCGCGACAAGAAAGAAAATATCTTCTTTTTTCTTTTAATTATTATATATTTTAAAATACTCGCTTTCGGTACAATACATGCATTAAACATGAATGTTTCAAATCATTTTTCGATTCACGTTAATATTCTTTCCTTTTAACTTGTGCTATACTGATTACGCAAATGTTACAATATCCAGCCTGTAAATATGATTGAGAATATGCAATAAAAATAAAAGGCTAAAAGACCGTGGCGCAAGATGTTAGAGCGTAAAAAATAAAAGTAATAATAAAAAGGCTCTAAATAAGAGACATAATATATTAATAATCAGTTAGATATAAAAAAATACATACGTACGTTTCGATCTTTTCAAGATGCTTTTCAATGTTCAAGAAGTCGTTAAAGGATAAACACACAAAATAAACTGAACGCGATTAAAATAATAAACTGAACGCGATTAAACAAGGACAAGCGCGATAAGAAACAAATAGACATTGTGTACAATAATAATGGTCGCAAAAATTTAAAAACGCTAACAATAGATGTGACGAAAGCGCATAGACAGTTAGCAAATTATAAAACTAATAATGTATGGTCATAAGCTAGATTTTCCGAAAGAAGACCAACGCTCATCTATGCATAAGAAAAAAGACGCACTAAAACTGCATACGTGAAGAATATTCTTTCACAAATTTGTGTCGTATGACAATCCACCGATGAAATATTTAGAGTCTTTTTATTATTACTTTTATTTTTTACGCTCTAACATCTTGCGCCACGGTCTTTTAGCCTTTTTATTGCGTATTGTCATCATTCGAATCGTATATTGCTTTTGTCATTTTATGATTGAGAATATTGATAAAAACGATATTAACAAAAATTGTATTTAGTGCGCACTGATTTTATCTTAAATGTTTCATGATTTTATCTTATTATTAGATATTTCGTAAAAGATACTTACTTTTCTTATTTAAGATACAGATAAAGATATATACTTTAATTATAAAGCTAAAAGAAAAAATAAATAATAAATGTATCTAGATGAAAATCTAGATAATTTTATTCAGATAAAGGAAAACACTGATTACATATAATAAGAATAATGTTGAATTACAGCTACAGTTTATTTTGATAATTATTGATTATGATAATTAATGATCAATTATAAATAAATGTCGAATACGATTATTTATCTATTTTATGAAGGCATTAAACTTGAGCAAATAAAAGCCATGTATTACGGCGTACATGTATATATTTATCTGTCTCGAACGTGTAATTTTCGAAATAAAAATTAATATAAATAATCTTGTAACGTTTATTCGCATATTTGATGAAAATATTTTAAGTTTTAATTTGCGACGCACTTCTTTATTTTGTTTGCTTCACAGTAAAAAATTTTGTGTTAAATTTATTTTACGTGTCTCAATTTATCCACTCTAATTTTAATGTTATTTTAATAGAAGGCAAGTATGTAAATAAATAACACAAGTAATATGTTTAAAAATTAACACAAAAATGTAACACTTAAACTTTATCTGGAAATAGTTTATGTTAAATTAACATATTTATAATGTTAAATTTAATTTAAAAAAAATGTTATTCTTATATTCTTATGATAAATAACAGAAGAGATATGTCGATTTAAGATATGGAAACTGTTATAGAGAGAAAAGTAGCACAACTTATCTGTTCATTTTAACATGTAATATAATATTTCATATTTCATCAAAAATTCAGTGCATTTACATATTAATTGTGTTGTTTTAACTCTTAGAAACGGTGAATATTAACTCGACGCAGAAATGTCAAAATAACGCAACAATAATATGTTACATTAACATAAGAGTATGTTAAAAATTTAACACAAAAATTTTTACACGAGAAAATTTTAACAGAAATACAAAATATTTTTTACCGTGTTTATCTAAACGATACGGTAATTCTGTTCGTAGATTTGCATCATCGTTATCTCGTGGAAACAATAACGATGACAACTGTTACGGAGCGGCGTATCGTGCGGGAAATTAGTGAGGAGGAGCGAAAGGATTGCTATGGAAGATCCGACACGGATAAGGAAAAGAACGACGTCCCGAAGGATAACGGTTTTAATCCGGCGCTTTGTCCTGGAACGGGCGTTCACGAGAATGCGGAGCAGTTGATCGCGCCGCGGTGTAATGACTCGGATGTCACAGAGAATCGTGAAATCGAACACGCGAACGCTAAAAATCCTACGGGTAACGACAAAAGGGAGGCGATAGTAGAAGCGGAACGCATCAACGATCAAACGACGATGGCGGTGGGCGAGCAGTCACGTGAGCCAGACGCGAAAGAGTTGTCCCTCGTGTTCAAGTTGGGTAACGTGTCCCTTGCCAGCAACAGTCTGAAGCCGAATTCCGCGGTGAGACAACTTTTTCCTAACCCAAAGTTCATCTCACCACCGCCGGCGCTTGCCAACAAAGCGACTTGCCCGGAACATTCTCAGGACGCGGAGGCGCAGAAGTTTCTGATCACCGCCGAAAGTCTACGGTTATTCGATGCAGTGAAGTCGCCAGTTCCCAGCGACTCGTACGAGTCGCCGGAATGCGAATCCAACTCGATCAAGAGATCCATCGAGCGGAACACGCTACGTCGAAGTCTGATTGGCAAGTACAACACGATATCACGCAAGAAGAATCTACGACCCAAGAATTTGTCGTTGGAGGAACGAATCAGGCAGCTCACGTGCGTCGATCAGGACGATGAAAACGTGACGGATACCACGGACAGCTCCGATAATACCAACTCAGGTGCGGGCGATCCCAAGTACCAGGGCGGAGATCTTTCGATACGGACATCACCGTTGGGCGAGGAACGGCCTATGTGCGAATCGCTGCCGGCGAGCGTGGCCTCGACGGAAACCACTGCCACTTTAACAATGGTGCCGACAAGATCGAGCTCCTTGACGACGATGACGACAACGACAGCAATGACGACGACTGCGGTGAACACGATAACATCTGTGAACACTCACGGACACAATTCGATGCTCGAGATGCCGATGCTAGTGACGGACAACCCGCCGAATCCTCAATCGTCCACTTATCGGAAGATCACGGATCTGTTTGCGCACAAGAAGAATATCCAACCGAATTTACCCGATCTCGGGATCGGCGGCAGAAGTCTCCTCGCCAAGGAATGTCAGTCCAAGAATCCGTTGACGAAGATGAACTCGGAGGTGCGAAAACAGTTGTTGGCAAGTCTGGCGCCGCTTTCTTGCGTCGCCGTCAACAATTCCGATAATCAGGATGATTATTATAGAAACGAATCCAGAATACTGGCAAATCGCGAGTCGATCAACTATAACTCGGACTCGTATAGCTTAGAAGACATAGAGGCGGTTTTGAACGGCGAGGACAGAAAGTACGCCGGTCAACCAGATGTGACGAGGTGCACCCCGATAGGAAGCAGACCCGATATTGGTGACAACGCCACCGACGAGTTGCTCGCGTTTGTTGAACAAGACAAGTCGAGGATGGAACGTATAAAACGCCGCTATAACGAGACGGAAGACCGTTATGCGTTCATTAACGGCTATCATTCCGAGGACAAAGCCGTGAATACGTCATCCAACGAAAATTATGATGCCAAGAGCGTCAAGAACCATGACGCTCAAGTGGACAACGAGCAAGAGGACGACGATGACGATGAACTCAACGATTATGGTTTTAATCGACGACCATCGGTGACGGGCATCAAACAGCAGTATGATACTACCAACGACATTGCTCATCGGCCGCGATCTTGCGTTGGTGCCACTAACTTTAGTGACACGAGACCCACTTCAACGTATTTGCCGATGTATTGCGACGTGAATGGCGACAAGATTGACACCAAATCGCTGTTGGCCGCCGATGGAGATGAAACGATTCCCATGTCCGCTGACACGTACACCACGATGGGAAGCTTCGAGCGAGACACGAACACGATCAATCGTATAAACACGATGCAGAGACAGATCGATGACATATATCAGACTATCGCCGAGAGCACGGCGGTCACGGCCAACATTCAGGGGGTCTCCGAGCATGCGACCTATCTGGAGAACGCAGTACCACGACAATTCGTCATCAGAACGCCGTCCGGTGACGGTACCGCGCATCTGTACGGTGAGCACAGGAATGGTCATCATTACTTCCAGGAGCGGCAGCAGCTCTCCAACACCCGCATGTTGCGTATCGCAGGAGGCGGTGACGATGTCGCGGGCACGATATACACCAACACTCTATCAAAGATGCAACGTCGTAACCCTCCAGTAACGATCGCAAACTATCATTGCAATGTACTGCCCGGCGGTACCGTGCCCAACACCACCAAGTGTTATCGCACCATGTACTTCGTACCGTACAACGGCATGTCGGACCCCACGTATCAGAATCTACAGCGTATCCTACCGCCGCATTCCTCGCCAAATTATGCCAGCCACATCGAACGGTACCCATATCCCCGTCTGAATAAGACGAGTCCGCAACAACAAGCGTTGTATTACAACGCAAATCGTTCCGCCACGTCGCATTCCAATTTGAATACATCACCGCCTGTACCACCCCCTCCTCCGCTACCACCGCCACTTGCATCCGTCTCGAGTCCCAACTCTCTGCAGGGCGGCCAACAAGCTTTGCACCTACATATTCACCCACATCAGACCGAGGAAGCCTTTCGATCGCCCAACATGGCGTTCTCCCCCGTGCCGCATTCGGCGGTGCATCATCCAATGCAGTTTCATCATCATCAGCATCAACATCAGCATCACCATGGTGAAATGGCGTCGTATCGGGTAATGACGCAACAGTCATCACCTTCGTATACGGTAATCGCCCCCTCGAGATGCATGCCAGCGAGTAATCAGGATGGCTATCCATTATATCCGGCGCATCTGGCACGCGGTAACGTTGTCGCCGGCGTTGCTGCGGATGTACAAACGCAGACGATCACCGTCACAGCCGCATCATCGTTCTCGTCTTCCTCGTCCTCTTCGTCCTCGTCGTCGTCCTCCTCCTCGTCCTCATCGTCATCCTCGGCGTCCGCATTATCGTCGTCTTCATCTACCGCCTCGGCCACCCTCGCTTCTCTCAAGTGCACCGGGATCCCTAACAAGAGCTGCGAACCGTCGATCCTGGGAACGTCTTACAACGGCACGCAACCAGCTACGGGCAATATCACTCCGCTCATGTGTTCGACGTCGACGACGACAACGGTCGTATCCTCGATGACGCCGATGCAACTGTCACGGGCTGTCAACACATGTGCGGTGACAGAACGCGGGGTTCCCGAGGGCGCCGCCAGCTTGTCCACCCGGGATTTTCAACCATCGTCCAGCTCGGCAAATCCGACATCGCACGTTCTGCTGATGTCCAATTCTTACGTCGATCCCAATTCGGGTCTTATGTCTACTCCCAACAGTAATACGAACACAGTGTACTATGCCATGAACGTCTGAAGGCAACCGACGATGGAACTACTAGAAATTGTAAATATGCGTCCGATGAAGGACACTTGAAGAACTTCGTGGAGATTTAGAGCGTCGTCGCAATATGCGTCGTCTGAGAAATATTATACATGAATCTTTTGAAAATCAAACTGATCAACTTTATTTTTTATAAATTTCTTAATTTTAGTACTGAAGCATGAATGTGCTAGAGTTAAAATTCTGGTATTAAAATTAAGGAATGTACAAAAAAAAGGTAGAATTGATCAGTCTTTTCTTTTGAGAGGCTCGTATCGCATTGCTACGTCTCGAGTGATTTTGACGAGTGGCTTATATGTAACAGAGATACGCGATAATCTAGAGAGAGAGAGAGAGAGACAGACTCGTTTTTCCCACCTCCTTCTGCAATCGGTTGCACGCGTTGTAGCGGAAGTTACTCATCTTGACGGCAACGTTCATCAAGGGTAAAATTTTTTTTCTTACTTTTTTTCGATTTGATATTTCTATTTTTATATTTCTCGTTTTCTTTATTTTTTCTCCTTCTATTTTATCTTTTATCCACTTTTAACTTTTATCCTTTGCATTTTTTTTCACGATTAAAAACTACGCGAAAAAAGAGCTTCATTTAGAGAGCCTAATTTCCTTTTATGAAGTACAAGAATTATATTTTCTTAAAGAGGTGCAACTGTGTGTGTGAGATAAGACTTATGTAGGATCTGCGTAGGATTATTAGAATGAACACTGAATGAAATCATAAACGCTCTTTAGGCACGAAAATATATTCGTTGCAAACTTTTCACTAATATATATGTATATATATAACGTAGTAAAAAAATATTATTGGAGAAAATGTATATGTATATGTGTTGCGCTATATTGCACTTGCATTAATGCTCTCCAATATTGTTTCTGTTACGTTATTTGACATATATCGATTGTCATGATATTGATATTGTAGCAATATAATATGTTAGTTCAAATTATATATTATTTTACACGCTCGTTATCGTCGCGATGTTGTAATATTGTACAAACTTTTTACAGGACTGTAGAGATATTTTCACGTAAAGATCAGTGATTTTAGGATTTATTCCCCTTATCTAGAATTGTAGATATCGCGACAGAGATAGTAGATCATTGTTAGATACTATCGTCATTTATGATCTGACGAAATTGTTAATTTTTTGTTTTGAATTACGATGATAATTTATAAAACGCGAGCGAAACGTTAACATTGAATTGGAAAACTCGACAGAGAGAAGACTCGTTGCGGAAAAATACATCGTAAGAATTTTTCTAAAGAAAACGCGGCAGCGTCTATATGTCACACTCCAGAATATATTTCCGGAAGAAGAGAGAGAGAGAGAAAAATTCCACTTTATTCTGTGTTTTGTGTAGTAAAACTTCATCTCTGAGAAGATGCTATTTACTTGAATTTCTCTTGTACGCTTCATGCCAAATTAAAACGTATCAATGCCTCTAGTCAGTATAAAATTAGTCTACGATGTAAGAGATACACGAAAAGAAACATGTCGAATAGAAAAGATAAAAAAAATATAAGATATAATTCACTTTTATTAGTTAATTTCTTCACTTTGCGTCGTCGATGGGGTTCGCCCGAGATTCTTTCTCGCTTATAACGGAATATCCCAATAAACATGGCGCGTCAACCGAAACCAAAATTACATAGCGTATCTATATTTACAGTTAGTAGAAGCGACAAATATGTTTAACAATTCCTTGATGTTTCTTAATGACAGCAAATATTATAAATAGACGTATACACAGGGAGTAGGTACAAAATACTCTGCGATGTTTAGAAGACAGAATATTTGTTACGGTTATTTGTGCTCATTCTTCAGCAACACTCGTCAGCGTCTCTCAAGAACTCGTTGAAAGTACAACTCGCGCGTTCGTATAAATCATCCTATCGAAGTTCGACATTTATGTAGTTCGAATAGACAATATATAAGGACACGCGAATCTATTTTTTAGCGTAATCACTTTCGCTAATTCACTTCCGAGAAAGCTATATCCTATATACATAAAGTAGTACCTCTAAGATCGAGGAATAAGATCGCACGGCCTATATACCGTTCACACTTGTGGAACAAGATAGATAGTTATTTATTTTCTTCGTGCCAAAAAAAACGTCTCGCAATGAAGCAGGGGATGTATTATAATGTAATGGACTGAAGTGTAACGGGATTGAAGATGTAAAACACGCGTTTGAAAGTCAATTACGGCGAATTCATCAGAACGGGAGAGACGAACCAAATCGAACATAATTTCTACCGCATTGAAGGAATGAGACGAATGTGCGATTCAATGTACAATTTCTCATCTAAAGGATATTGATCGTTATGATATGACAAGAAAGATACCGCTTTTCGACTCGTTGTTCTCGCGCGAGATTATTAAATACGCGTATTGTTTAAATGGTGACTCTAATAATTAAAGACTATTTATCACGGCAACATGATAAACAAGAGAAACACGAAATATATCTCACAAGAGATTAGAAATTATATTATTATTTATAATAGTTGATATATGTATAATATATATTGTATATATATTATATATATATATATATATATATATATATATGTATATGTATAATAAATTTAATTCTCTGTTAGAAAATATAGCGTTGACACAGCTAAAAATTCTCGTGTAACGCAGAATTCAAATGGAAAGTGATATGCGAAATTGAATCGCGATTCTGTTGATATAGGAGACCTAACGTATAAAACTATCCTCATCGATGAATTCTCTACGCGTTTTAACTAAATTCACGGTTATAGAAAATAGCTCTGACCTTTCGCGAGAGAAAAGGTTGAGTAAATGTATTAAAGACCTCTACATTGGCGGTATATAAATAAATTATACGGTAGGTGTCTGCGTAAAACAAATGTTGCGTGTCGATAATGCAATATAAATCGTATTAATCGACCTGATTACTTAATTAAGATACTTCATTTTTAGTAGCATTTGACGTACGGGCAGTATGCGACGTGTGCAGCGAGTACGCTCATTTATCGTAAGTCTTATGTCTATGCCTTATCAAAATCCTGGATCTTTTTTACTTAAATTATGGGTTATATATACAGGGTATGAATTGTTGTATGTGTGATAGCGACTACAATACGCTTTACACATTTATGCCAAAGTTGAATCATATCAAAAAAAATTTATTCCATCTTTATATATATATTTTTTTTAACTCTGTCACTCGCAAATTCGATTTGTTTCATCGCGAAGAAAAAAAAATCGTGTCTCTTATGATTTTAAATTACACACTTATACGGAGGCACACGGCTCTTGATATTCTTATTATTAGAATGTTAATGCTCTTGATATTTTTACTACGTATTAATACTACTTTTAGAGTACTAATCAATATGATAAGTATAGTTGAGAATACAGGTCACGAGTTCTGCTCCAGAGGATAATTTCATAGAGAAACATTTATCGCGAATACAAAGTTAACTTTTCAAAATATCGAAATATTCTTATCACAGAAATATATTATCAGTTTCCATTTGCAATTTGTATTTTCATCGCTTTCGTTTTTTTTTTTTGCAACTTTTTCATCAGTGAATGTGTAAATTTTTCTTTTAACAAAACTCTTTTAATATATCGCTTACTTATGACATTTACATTGATTATTAATTTTACGTAGGTGACATGGAAAGAAATTTGAAGGAAAAATATTTTCTTGAATTGAAGAAAATTTTTCAAATTCTATCATGAATCGTCATAACTATATTGGTGTTGGTAAATGAAAAGAATATTCCCCATAGCTTGCTATCCACTCCGAATAATTTTTCGAAATGAATCTTTGCGTAGAAGACGCAAAGGAATATCCCTCGAGATATCATTCTTTCGCATCTCGCATTTAATCCGTCAAATCTTTCGGCTGGAAATATTGTAGAATCCCTCAGGTAATCGTGAAATACCTCTCTTAATCTTGCTTCTTCCCAATGATCTTATCTTGACATGACACCAAAGATCTTGCTTTAATTTCATCGAATGTAGAATGTATCTTATCATCAACCCTATTATACTTGTTATAACTTGACTCTAAAGATCTTTAATTGTAAAAAGATTTTTATATATATTCTCTGTTGACCTTTTTATATATATATATATATATATATTTATACATATATATTCTCTGACATTTTATAAAGATATAAGATTTACCGTAAATGAACGCCTATTTACGCACGAAATGATATATATCACGGTAATGCTCTCTTAAAGGCACCGATTCCTTATAAAGATGGCTTTGTATCACGATTCTGAGTTTGATAACGAATGTTGGATGCATAATGTAAAGAATAGCTTTTAATGTGTAATCCCAACGAAGATATTTAATACAATCTTTGTTTCCCGGATGTGTATGTGTAACAATTGGATATGTTGCAGATATTTATATACTAGCTGATTCGAAGCAAATGCAAACGTACCCTAGATACGATAATGGATCGAGCAGTAGATTATAAGTGTTATGTATCGAGCTATTTGATAATCATTGTATTCCCTACAATTTAGAACTGCACGCATTTCCGTCAATACGCGGAATATATTTTATCTGAAAATATTCTTAACAATTTCATTTTTTTTGCATAAAGCGACGTGAAGGAATCGTAATGACTACTAACTGATTAGGAAATTACACAGTTACGAGGAAGATAATGATGTTTCAGCGAAATGTTTTATCGAAAACATTGTATACACGCGGAGGTATGAATCGGCCCTTGAGAGAGAGGGGCATTTATTTAGAAACTCTAGCTCTCTTATGTCAAAGAAAGATTGTTAAATATGTAACTGTAAGTGCGCGAATGTGTGCTGAAGAACTCGAATCTGTGAAATCGAGATTATTATTTTCTCAAAAGTGCATAATCGAGTATACAATTTACATTTTCGTAGCGCACACTCACAAGAACATGCATGTCAACTCACCCCTTAGCGCATACAGATATAGACCTTGAATGTCTCTCTACTACTCATAATCGGTAGACTCGAAGAATGGCGTACCCATGTCGTTTCATCTCGTATTTGTAAAAGTTCTGTCGTTTATACCGTAGTTTGATGATGTTAACGGCTACTATTTTGTATCCAGTACTCTTAATCCTTAACGGTCCATTTAACTCTCGTTGCACTTTCGACGCATCTGAAATGAACGTAATGCGCGATTTTTGAGCGAGACAAAGAAATAAAGCGTCAAAGTAAAGGAAAGTGTAAATGGTACATGCGCGACACAAAAGAATCCAAGCGTAAGTATCTCGCTACTTTAGATATGAAGAGACTGCGGAGAATTTCGTATAATAAAACGCGGAAACCATTAAGGGTTAACATTTTGTAAAGCGAACATATATGTATATGACTCACTAAAAGATCCCCAAAGGCGAAGTTTTTCATCGTGTCTCCGATCGCGTCGCTCATGGCATTATTATAGCGATTACTAGAGTTCACTGCGATTCTGTAATGTGTACAAGAAGCAATAGAAAAAGTGCCAAAAGTTTCGTTTTATCCGTTTTCAATCTATCGAGTAGACTCGTCGAGCGCATTGTTGGAGCCGCGACTCTTCCTGTATTTAATTAATTAAAAAAAAAGAAGCGCGCGAGAGAGATGACCGATATTGGAATTCGCGGTTGGCTGGGAAAGTAGCACATATGTAAACAGACCACAGAGTTGCATTACATATATATACATACTAAAAGTTGTATCGCGAAATATGATGTTGCATGAATTTGCGGTCTTGAATTTTTTCCCGCGTAAACACGATAATCACGCGCGGATATCTGAATGAAAAACTGGAAGAACTATTATATTTTCTACTCGATTATAAGAGGAGGAATCAGCCGATAAAAGGGAACACAACCGAGACATTTCCGCTATAATTTATCCGCTATCATTTTCATCGAATCACTTCGCTTGACGGATAATGTTTATTAACTCTTTAATGCGTTAGAAGTTTTAATCTAATTTAAAGAAAAATTCTTTCAAAGATCTTCTTCTAGTACCTCTCAAAGTTATTCTCTTTTAGATCTCTTTTCTAGAAGAAGCTTCAAAATTGATTCTTGTAGTTATATGAAGACAGCTGTCAAAAGGATTAAATTTAAATACAAATGAAATAAATGAAGAAGTTCTTAAAATTCAAACATTCCAGAAGTGTATTAAAGAGTTAAAAATATTTCCTTCCTGCCACCAATGCATCTTATTACAATTTTAAAACTATTCTATTCAATCTGCATCTCACGTTTGCGAGAAACGGAACATAGTTGGGATTTGATGTAAGATTTCTATCTTTAGACTGATTAGCGAGCGCGAGATTTATAATTGCGAGATTTATAAATGCGTGTGAAAAATATTGTTTCACAATATTGCTTAATGGGGGTATGAAAAACCTGTCAATCTGTATGCGAGGATGTGTCTGATGATATATAACGGAGAATTAAGATATATATTTAATTCTAGAAAGCGATCGGCACGCATATTCTGTACCTATATCACAGCAGCCTTTCTAGATAAGAAATACTCACTTATGGCAGTTTTCGAGATTACTGCTGATTATCGAGAAGATAGACAGGCGTGATACATACAAGGCCAAAGGGATGTAAAAGCAGGATTATCGATTGAATATCTATCGACCGGTTAAAATGACCGTCACACGGTTTTTCTAGCGTTAAAGGATTTTTATCATCGAATGTACAATCTCCTAGGAGAAGAGTACGATTATATATATATACCGGTCAAAAATATCTCGATGATACATACTTACACACCAAAGAGAATAACAGAATAACGGAATATGAATAGAGAGGCTGAAACGAGGAGAGAAAGAGAAAGGAGAAGAGAAAGAGAGAGATTTATATTCGAAAATCTCCGGAATTATAGTTTGCATCTTGTCGCGAAACGACCATTTTTTAAAGCGCATTCTACATTCTACACGCGCCGGTGAAAAATAACAAGATGTAACGCAACGCAAAGTATGGCGAATATATATATATATACATATATAAATGTTTACGAGAAGCGGAGCATCAATCGCGAGCGAGCTTTAAGCGAGGAGCGGTAGTTTTGGTATAACAAGCGTACCTCCTGAAACCCTGCAAAATACTTGATTATTTAATCGTGTAAAGGATAATAACGAGATGGATGCGAGATATAAGCGTCCGATCGTACCGTCTCAAGCTGTTTAGTCTTCTGTGCACCTATTTGTAATCTACGGAGGTAATCACGCGGACGCGCGCGAAGCCACGAATATTAATGAACGCGAACATTTAGAAAAAAGGTAACCATAGACCGAGCAGAGTTTTAGCTGGTGTATCACGCGCTATGAAGAGAAAAAAAAAATTACACACATAACAACAGTAGGGAGTCGTAGACACGTCGGTGCACGAATATAAATGACCTTCTCATTTAAATTCAGGCACTGTCTGTCTATGACAGCCAGCGAAATACGCAAGGAAAAATTTTACATGTATATTATATAACTCAGATGATTATTAAATAAAGTACTTATAAGAAAATGTATATATAAATAAATCTGCAGCTATATATATATATATATATATACATACATATCTATATATAGTCGTTGTGCTATTCACGTTATTCTTATCCTTTATCGTAGTGAGATTATATTACTTCAACGGCATTAAAGTGAAGTTTATACCTACTTACACATAATTGAAGATTTTGATTATTTATTTATTTCCCTGAATATAGATTGCGAATTTTTCCCTGAATCAATTATATGAACTGCGTAAATAAAAGAAAGTAATAATTTTGAATGTTTATACAGAATTCACACATGCGACATCGATTTTAAGCACCATTTAGTGTGACCAAGTGTAATTAAACAATCTGTAGTCAATTTCTCAAAAATCCTTATCTATAATGTCATCAGCGATTATATTGATGATAAACATAGAATATAATTAATATTATTATAATTATAATTATAATTATTTTTAATATTATTATTAAAAATATATAATATTAATATTCTTTTTATATTATTAATATTAATAATATAAATAATATTATTATAATATTATTATTTTTTATATTATTTTCTTTTTATTGGAGAAAATACAAAGGCTATGACAGCGCCATCCAGCCGATACATCATGTCATATGTAGTATAGTCGATAACATAGGAAATTACTTAATAATCAATTACATCGAAGTTAGGTATAAAATTATTCGTAGGAACCATAATTATAATATAAACTTATTTAGCAAGCTAAATCTTAGTCTATCCATTTACATAAAAACTTGTATCAATATATATATATATATATACTAACCATAAAATGAACTAAAATAGTCGAATTAAATTTAAGTAATTAAAGTAAATAAAGTAATAAAAGTATAATGGACTTAAAACTATGAAAAACAAATGTACGCAAGGCAATATTTAAGTAAAAATAAAATGACGTGGGATTGACAAAATTAGAGTTATTCATGCAAATCAGGTACGTTATTTTTATCGGGAGGAAATACAAAGGCTATGGCAGCGTCATCCAGCCGATACATCATATATGACATACATATACTGCATATATCATATGCAGTATAATCGATAACATAGGAAATTACTTAATAATCAATTACATCGAAGTTACGTATAAAATTATTCCTAGGAACCATAATTATAATATAAACTTATCTAGCAAGCTAAATAGTCGTAGTCTATCCATTCACGTAGAATGGTAATATTATCGCTGGAAATTTATCCACAGCTGTCTGATTAATCATTGAGTAAAATAATCAGCAGATGTCGCCTCGGGCGGCATCGTACGACCGGTGCCACCGCCCTTCGCACATCGCGCCCTCGATAGACCGGCCCTATGTCGCGGCGCGACTGGGCGCGATCGCGAGCGCACGCGGAAACGGAACACGGCGCGACGTCGCGTAAGAAGCGCTCGCTCGCGTCGAATTGAGCACCCCTGCGCGCGATATATCCCGTATTGTACATCAATTCGCGCTCTAGTCGTCGTCGAGGAGCATCGAGGAGGCCGTAGCGGGGCGACTATAGCGAATTACGGCGTACATGCATACGTGTGTAAATACGTGTATACGCGTGTGAGCGATGGCTCCGATTCGGGGCTCCTGTGTACGCTCGATGGTCGAGCATCGTCGCGCACACGTCGCCGCACCTACGTCGGGCGGCGCCGCGAAGAGATCGCCGGCCACCGCCGCCCATTATTAACGCGGACCCGCTCGCCCGTTCTCCCGAAGAGCCAAGAGAGACGCGGAAGCGGCCGGCGATCGTCTCCGCGGGGCGGAGCGGGGTGCTGTGGTATTCTAGTGCGTGATCAATGAACTCTGCTGCTTGAGTCGCGTGTCGAGGAGAGACCACGGGACACGCAATAATGGCCCGGCGAACGTACGTACGAACGATAATAAATCCTCCCTCCTTCTCTCTCTCTCTCTCTCTCTCTCTCTCTCTCTCTCTTTCTCTTTCTCTCGGTATCTCTGTCTCTTTCCCGGATTTGTTCTTACGCCGAGTCCCGCGAGAAGGACGCGTATTCCTCCTCCCGATGACGAAGACGATGAGTGCCACCCATCGACTTCCATTTTCGGTAGAAACTCGCAATTATGACACGACGACCACGTACGTATAGACGTACAGTGGTGCGCGGGCGAACGGCGTAACGAGCGCGTGCACGCGTTAAACGCATCCTCCCTTCCCCCCTCCCGCCCCCCTCTTCCGCCTGCTCAAGGCGATCTTACGTCAGTTGGATCAAGCAGCGTTTTTCAACCCTTTTGTTCGGAGCCAATCGGTTAGCCCGCTTCGTTTAACGCTCCTCGCTCTCCCCGCGCTCTCATCCGCTCTCGTCCACTCGCTCGCTCGCGCTCGCTCTCATCCTCTCTCGGTCGGACGATCAGGATTAATCGCGGAACGCTCGAGCGGGCAGTTAACGCGATGCGCCGCGACGCGTTCTCGTAATTTTCGCGGGCGACACGCAAAACTCGAATCGGAAGCTCGAGTGGGTGGGGGAGGATCCTCTCTCTCTCGCGCGACGATTTTTTGTTTAATATCGCTCGGAACACACGTCCGCTTCGCGAGAGGTGCCGAGAGACCGCTGCTTCGCGTTTTCATCAGTCTCCGTCTCGCATATATTCGTGCTGAGGCGTCTCTCATAAGGATGAATCGTGATCTCGAAGGGACGTGATAGTAATAGGAAAATCGAATGGTATAAAAACTTACAAGATTCGGGATAAAACTGAGATTAAATTTTGTTTAGTTTTCAAATTTTTCCATAATTTTTTTTCTATTTGTTTTTTCTTACATTCTTCTATTTATCTGACAATGATTGTACGATGGAGTAGGACGGTGTCTTTAATATACATAGATAAAATCACCGGAGAATGTGAGTTTTGTTTTTTTTTTTTAAATATCCTCCATTTTTAGTTACTTAAAATATATTTTCGAAAGTTTGATTGAGCCTTATATGCATTTCCTAGAAACATATATAATTTTATTTATTATCTAGTACAATTCACTCAAGGCTTATTCTAATATGAAAGTCATTTGACAAATTTTTCGATGTCAAAGAAATTTTCAATTTATTTTTATCACAATTAATTTACTGAAGATTAATTTTGTCTTTCCTTTTGGCACAACTTTCACTACACGATACATATATATGATGTTCTATACATATATATGAAAATCTCTTATTTCATGATTCTTTTATTGCAGATGATGATATAATACAGATTTACTATAGTCTTTGAGAAAGCACGCATTAAACAATTGCTTCATAAAACAAAATAAATGATCCAAGATGAATGATATAGAAAGTTTTGGCATGAAGGGAGGCTCGAAGATGCCTCACAGTCATTCAACACCAGCTGGTGTGGATGGAGGTAGTAGAACACCTCCTACAACACCACGGAAGGCTGGAAAAATGCTGGCAGTTCGTGTACAGATGTTGGATGACTCTATTACAATGTTTCAAGTGCAGGTAATTAAGAGGGAGAATATTTATATTTTTTTAAAATAATTTCTTCACATTTTTAATTACACATATTACACATATACTTTAATTGCGGCATCATACACATTAAGATATATGAAGAAAATTATGCATTATCTACAAAGATAGTTATCAAATACTAACAAGATTTGATGTTCTTTCATTAGAATTTAATAAGTTTTCTTGAATTTATATTCTAATACGCCGTTTATAAAGAAAATGCAAGTTCTTTTAAGATTCTTGCTTTGATGAAATTTGCAAATATATATGATATTTAATCTTTCTTTATGCAATGTAATTTATTTTTCCTCTGAAGTCTTCATTATTTATAAAATATGTCAGTATATAGAAATATTTATTGTTTATATTATTTATAAAGACAATTTCTTTTATGTTTATAAAGAGTAATCACGGAAGAATAAGCGCTAAAATGGTGCTTAAATGATGCTTGAATATCTTATTGTACCTTTACAATTCTCTAGTATATGACAATTGACTGTGTGTGTTATTGCATTTATAGTCATAAGCTATTACATATCTGTGTTACGCATCTCTCTATACATTCTTTCTTTATATATGAAAATATTCATCAAAGAAGATCATTGAATAATTTAATCTAAGCTCACATATCTTTTTTTTTTTGATATTATTTTGATGATATATGTGTAGTATGTACCATTTAATATATTGATCATTACACTTATATGAGCTTTATTGTTCGTAATCTGTAGCTTTATTCTCGTTTTTTTCATGTACTCAAAAAATCTATGTATATTAATATGTCTATCAGCTTGTATTTGCTGCATAGGCATATATTAAACTATTTACTTCGTGCATCCAGGTCAAGAGTCGTTGATTATAAAGTCTCTTAGAATCCTCTGTGTGGAGCTCTTTAACTTAGAATTCCGATACACGAAATTTTCACTTTTATATTATTTTGAAATATTATTTCTATCATAATATTTCTCCCATAATTTCAGTAATAAGATGTTCTGTAATTTTATATACGTGTTTAAACATTAATAAGCTGGATTTTACTCTCAAAAATTTTTTACAACAATCCTATAATTATGTTATTTAGATTAAAAAATATTTTGTTATTTAGATTTAAAAATTTACTGACTTATAAGTAATATATATATATATATATATATATATATATATATATATATTTTTATATTGGTGAGATGATTATATACCATGTACGCTCTGTATGCATATACTTCCAGAAGAATGAGTTACTGGAGCATATAATGTATCAAATGGGGGATTCTGTGTGCAATATATGTATATACTCATTTATTGATTATTTATTTACAATGCTTGCAACGTGTTGCTTATTTCTTCAGAGATTAATTTTGTTCCCCAGCATCTTAACTTTTTGCATTGAAGTTGATAAGATTAAGTCTATATTTATAGTATTTAATTATATAATCTTAATTCATATTATTTGTATTTTACACGTGTGTGTGCGTGTGTGTGTGTGTTTTTTTATATAACTACACTAGTATCTCTTATCAAAGCAACCTCTACCAAAACAATCAAATTAATCTATCAAGTTTAATTTATCAAAATATAATAAAATACATATATTAATAATATTTAAGAATTTTATCATTTAATAAACTAATTGTATTAAAGCTTAGAACAATTTATCACATGTATAAATTTTATTTTATTATTTGAAATTTTCAGGCCAAAGCACTAGGGAGAGTATTGTTTGATCAAGTTTGTAAGCAATTGCACCTTTTAGAAGCCGATTATTTTGGTCTTGAATATCAAGAACCAAATTTAACAAAAGTAAGATGTGTAATTTTTTATTTAATCTCCTTTCTTCAATGAGCAGTGAAATTAAAGCTTGTGATATTTACAGTATTGGTTAGATTTGGAGAAACCAGTATGCAGACAAGTTGGCTTATCTTTAATTGATCCTCTATTGAGGTTCTGTGTTAAATTTTATACGCCAGATCCCGCACAACTCGAGGAAGAGTTTACAAGATATTTATTCTGTCTACAAATCAAACGGGATTTATCTCTAGGTTTACTGCAATGCAATGACAACACAGCAGCATTGATGGCCAGTTATATAGTTCAAGGTAATTTTATCATTGCTATTTCTTCCATTGTTAACATTATAAGTTTAGTTACTATTTTATGAAAAAATTTCATCATCTATTTTTTTTCCTTGCAGCTGAATGCGGAGATTATGTGATAGAAGATTACCCGGATCATACATATTTATCAACATATAAATTTGTGCCTCATCAAGATCAAGAGTTGGAACGACGTATCATGGAGAATCACAAAAAACATGCGTAAGAGACATATTTTATGAATGTAATAAGTAATATTTCATTAATGTTGGATTTGCCTGAAACATATATGATTTTGACATTATTAGAGGCCAATCTCCTGCAGAAGCAGATCTCAATCTCTTAGAGACAGCTCGACGTTGCGAACTATATGGAATGAAAATGCATCCAGCAAAGGTGAGTTAAATGTAAAAAGAAAAAACAATTGTGCATTATATATATTGTGTATTGCATACATATTATGTACATATAAAATATATATATTTTTGTTCTTTACTAGGATCATGAAAACGTTCCACTAAATCTTGCAGTGGCACATATGGGCATTGTAGTTTTTCAAAATTATACTAAGATAAATACATTTAGTTGGGCCAAAATCAGAAAAATCAGTTTCAAACGAAAACGCTTTCTAATCAAATTGCATCCCGAAGGTTATGTAAGTAAGCTTGGAATCTTTAACATTTTTAAAGACAACATAAGTCTGCAAAATTTTAGATTTTATTACAAAGAGCAGAATAGGTGAATCTGATACGATTTTTTATGCTGAAAACGATTCTGCCACAGAATTTTCCCAGCACGTCAGGTGTTTGAGTAATTTGTGGTTAAATAGTCCAAAAATTGTTATAAATTTTAATTCGTGGTAAGACAAAGAAGTGGGTTGATGTGGAACGGCATATTGTTGGACTCCTATGCACGATCGGTCTTATAACTATCTCAGCGGAAAAAAATTGTACAGCAGCAATCAAAAATGGATTTAAAAGACGAAGACTAGTATTATACGATGCCATTGAAATATTTCCAAAAAATCAGGTTTCCCTATAATAAATTCATGAAATTGATCGAAATAGTCATTTTTAAAATTATTTAATCACAAATTACTCAAAAAATCGACGTGCTGGAGAAATTCTGTGATTCAGATTCAGATTTGTTTTCAGCATCAAAAAATCTATCAGATTCATTTACACTACTTTTTGTAACTCTCGCAGATCAATGTAATTTTTTTATCTTTAAATTAATATGAATTTGAATGTGATATACATACATACATACACACATACATACATAGTGTCCTATTTTAATTGTGCACCCCGATTAACAAAAAGTGATCAGATGAAAAAATGTTTTAGATAAGAGTTGTAGGATTCGGAGGAGATACATTCTTATAGCTTATCTCGAAAGATTTTTAAAACACTATATAAAGTATTGTTTTGTCAAGTACTTTGCGAGTTATGAGAAATAATTTCTTAATTTTACACAGATAATTTTACACTATAAAACATTTCGTAAAAGAATTCATTTTTCCGTGATAGTTTTTAAATATACTTTTATGTATAAAATAATAAGAGAAAGCAATTGATATAAGGAAAACACATAGTTGTTTAAAAAAAATATGTAATTGTTAATTGCAAATTATATATTTTTTCTGTTGAAAAGTACTTTAAAAAATGCTTTATTATAATATGCAAACTCCCTATGAAAAATAGGGAGTTCTATTTAAAAATACAAAGTTGAAATTCATATGACCTTGTCACGTTTACTCAAGCTCAAACTAATGTCACCATCAAATGTTCCTCTCCAAACCTTATAACTTTTGTCTAAAACATTTTTTCATCCGTTCACTTTCTGCAATATTAATCGGGGTGCACAATTAAAATAGAACACTCTATATACACACGCGCGCGCGCGCGCGCATCTCTATTGCAATAAAACAATTTTATTTGTTTTATAGGGTTATTATAAGGATACAGTCGAGTTTTTCTTTGAGGGACGTAATGAATGTAAAAACTTTTGGAAAAAGTGTGTAGAAAACCATGGTTTTTTCCGCTGCTCTGTAGTTAAGAGAGTCGTGAGGCAAAAAACTAGAGTGCTTAGCCGTGGATCATCGTTCAGGTATGTCAATTTATAATCTTTTTATAATATGAATATCACAAAATATGTTTATATGATTTTTTAGAGATCTTTAAAATATCATCGCATATGTGTAAAAAAAATGTCAAAAAATATTTAGGAATTTTTAAAATGCATTTAAAATTATTATAAAATAATAAAAGAGATTTCTCTTTTATATATTATCAGGTATAGCGGCAAAACTCAGAAACAAATTGTCGAATTTGTTCGAGACAATTATGTGAAGAGGCAGACATTTCAAAGGTAAGTTGTTCCAAGAGACTGACAGCTATGTTGAACAATTAAATAAAAGTCTTTGGATACCCCCCATGTAATAGAGATGTAGATAGTGCATGTATATCGCGTACTGTTTCCCCCCTAATGTTGATTTGTACCATTGAGGTCTTTAATTAATGAACGCATCAATTTTGTGTGGATAAGATAGGAGGTGGCACGGTCTTGCTTTTGCCGGAATCGGTATATACATATATATATTTATACATGTATTATTCACGAACGTCCACAATTTCCATAGCGGAAAATATTTCCAAGTTTTTATATTTCCGTTTGTCAGTGTTGCCTGCTCGGACAGGGGTGGCGGGGAGTCAGGCTCACCATCAGGCACGATAAACCCGAATGATGAGTGTACCCTCTCTCAATAGCGTGATCACTAATTATTTATTGTTGTATCTGATAATACACAGCAAAATACCATACTTCACTATAATATCCTATATAACAATTCTATCCAACAAGATACTTGTCCATAGCAGTAGACTGTTCTAAAATAGAATTTTTTTAGCTTATTAATATTATTATTAATTCTCGAAAAAAAAAGAAAAGTTTTTCTTGTACATATTATCGATAGATTTTCATTTGCTGTGCGATATCGATGCACGGTTGAAAAACGCCTATATTATTATGGAAATATATTAATTGGCAAAATGAAATACAATATGAGTGATATTAAATTCAATTGCAAGTAGCCACTATATTTTTATATTAATAATATCTATCAGTTTTGCTGAAAAGATCTGTGTGTACTGAGATGATATTTTTATATCGATATCTAATGGATTTCCATCCGGAAGCAATAATTGTGTAGAATGTACAAAACGCAGAAGTACAAAACTTGACATAATTCTTTTCCATAAACAATAATATACTATTGCAAAAATCGAATATATTAAAATTTAAAAATGATATTGAATATATTCATTTTAAAAGTGCACTTTTATATTTGTATTTATTTATGCTTCTGATGAACACGCAAGATATTTTTTTTGTATATTTCACATAATTATATTGCACGTATGGTTTTATTTACGAGAAAGCGCAAATATTTCAAGGATTTTTGTATCGATTCATATCTTTTTAAGATGTATTTTTCGTGTGACAAAAGTAAGACAGCTTTCTCTTTTACGCATTGTACAATTTTGTACTCCATTAAAAATAAATAACTGTCTTCACTATTCCCAAATTTGTTCAACGGTAGTACACAGTTCTCCTCTGCACTCATAATATCTCACATATCCTGATGAATTTATTAGTAATGTATAGTTTACTATATTTTTATATATTTAAAATACACATTTGATGGTTGTATTTCATTATATTTTTATATAGTTAAAAATATAGAACACACAATGAATGAGAATCATATGTTCCATCGACAGCAATATAACTATATTGTATGAAAAAAATCGACTTGCTATCTACTTGGCTATCGGCGATGTTGACCGTGTATCGTATCAGAAGTGTAATCTATTTTTGTTTGTCGCATCGCATATTTCAATACGTGGCTTAACAGGAAGATCGATATTTTCCGCACAGTTTCTCGCGTCAGTTACCGTCACTTAGCTTCGATGGAAGCTATTATTTTTTTTTCCTTATTACTGTTACTTTTGATCTCATTAAGGAAAAAAAAGAGGAAGAAGGGATAAGTTAGTTCCAAACAGGCTTGGCATTTGATAGCCTAAGTCTGATGCTGAACTTGACTCTCTCTTGCTCGCAGGTCCAATTCGTTCCGGCAGACTAGCGGTGGTAGGGCATTGCAGGGCTCGGAGGGGGGAGGCTATCGTGGGGCCACTCCAAGCAGCTCCCTTATGGGCAGCTCCAGCATCTCTGCCCACCCCCTCCTGCCCCTCGGCGATCCTGGTATGTACCATGACCGACACCAACCTCCACAACAAACGCTTTATTTTTAATTTCTTCGCCCTTTGGCTCTCTATTTCTGTCCACCTGTTTCTAGCCTCATTTCTTTTCACCGTATCATAACTGAAGTACTGTAATAGTAGAGTAGATTAGCGTATCTTAAATAGATTGTTTTCAAATGACCTTTGTGCGTAAGAAGTTATGTTTATAAGAATTATACATATAAAAATAAAGGAAAATTTATAAAGAAATATATAATCACACATATGTGGAGATTTGAGATTTCATTTCGTTAATAATTGCATATTGAGATAATTGTTAAACTATGCACTCAAAATATGAAATTAGAATATTTATGATATATCAGTTTCATACCTCGAAAACTAAAAATAAAATTGAATATCGATTAGTTTCGATCACGAAGGGTGTCAGAGTGGTATTAATAGCCTTTAAATAAATAAAAATATAAAAAACAAGCCTTTTTGTAAAACATTATTAAAAGATAATAGCATCAGTATAATAATTATTACAGTGGAATATAAGATATTAATTAATATAATAATTATTACAGTGGAATTAAGATATTAATCTAGGGATTATTAATGTCAAGATAAGATATTAAAAGAAGAATCAATCGAGTACACCCGAGATTGATTGACTTTTTCAAAGAATAAAATGTTCCTTTAATTAAATATTCATTAGAATAATTACAAAGACAAAGATATAATCACATAATGAGAATTACGCGCTAAGGTTCTTTATGTGAAAGATATGCGATGGGAAAGCGAAAGAGATTTATGCATGCAATTTTTTCAGCCCTGGCAACCCCAGCTCTGTCTCTGTCATGCGGCTCGATGACACTGGATTCTCCGACGACTGTGACGAGTGTCTCGATGGGCGGGACGATTCACCGTCGAGAAGACACAGCTACATCGTTTCGGACGCTCACCTCTATCGACGTCCATTCGCCAGCCACCCCCAGCCAGGTCCCAGCACCGCGGCAGATGCATGCTACCAGTCAACAACGGATTTCATCAACAGGTCGTATCAGCCCCTCTAACAGCAGTCCCCCCGAATTCCCACCACCACGACCTCTGCCCAGACACCCCTGGCAGCGGTCGGCTAGTTGTCGCGAGCTATATGCTTCTAGTTTCGAGGACTCTGGTAAAGCGCGACCGCGGGACGATAAGGTCACCGCGGAACCGCCATTAGACCCATTCCAATTAGCCTCTCAAGGTGAACTAGATAATCCCGTAACACGTTACGACGAGAGTAATCGTTCGTATAGCGCCGCTAGTTCGAAATTACCTTCTTTAGATCACGACTCTGTCCCCGAGCGTGTCTACAGCAGTTCCTACCCGGGAACGTCGTCGTTGTCTACCGAATCGGGTCATGAGGAATCGGGTCCCGCTGGAGATTTGTCGCATGACGATCTCTCGCACGATTCTTACGAGCTTTTGGAACGCGAGCACGAATTCGAATATCCGGAATCATATTCCAGTCCGCATGACGAGCCGATATCCGATCAGAGCGACGAAGGAATCGAGCACGAGATGTTCCAAATGGACTCCGAGACCGATTCCTTCGTCAAGCATAGATCGTTGAAGCCTTCTGAGAGGCAACAATGCAAGTCTGCATTAATTGACCTTAAAAATACAAAAGCCAAGTCCATCGATCGGTACTCGACTATATCTAAGCCAGACGATTATGTAATCACCGAATCCAGAATACAACGATCATCCACTCAAATAGAACGCAAATTTGAGACGAGACACGCCAATTCTGTGGAACAGCCGTCCAAGACGGCTATTCCGCATCAGGACTCGGCCAAAAAAGATCCCGTAATCTTGCAGGTGCAAAAACAAAAGGTTTCCGTTCTCAACGAGTTGAAGAACCTAAAGCCAAAGTATAAGATTACTCATGTGGATTCGGAGGTCTTGCGAGACGAGGGTATTATGCGTCCAAAATCGCGAATAGACGACGATCTGAGCCCGGTTGACGGGAATAGAACCGTATTAGATCATGGTGCAAAAGGTAGGACTACTAGAGCACGCAGTATCGCTAGCTTGGACGATCATCCGCCGCGATTGTACGTCGAGACAGGTAGCTTAGGTCGCGGACACAAGTCTAGGGATAGAAAATCGCGAGATTCTGATATTAAGGTCGAGAAAGTCTTGTCGAAAGAGCGTAGAAGTGTCGAGAGAGAGGAGCGGAAACGAATTGAGAGGGACTATTCGAGGGATTCCAGACGAATTGATAAAAGCGATTCGCGGGAGCGTCGATCCATGGATCGACTCGATTCGCGAAAATCGGACAATTACGGTCGTCGCAGTATAGATCGAATCGATATGCGCGAATTACGTAGGAGCATCGAGCGGCTCGATTTGCGTGAGAAAAGTTACGAGCATTTCGATTCGAAGGAAAAGAGTGCCTTTTATTACAATGATTTCTATGAATCACGTGGTAAGAGTGTCGATCGTTTAGATTCTCAAGGGCTGCGTAGCAGCATGGAGTATCTGAGGAGTCCTAAGGAAAGAAGCACTCATCGACATTCGGATACGCGAGAACGTAGGGAAAGAAGCATCGAACGAATTGATTCTCAAGAATCGAGGAAGAGCAGAGCGGCTTCTATTGACTACGAGAGGCATACTTTGGAACGCTTCGATTCCGGCAATAGAAGTCCGTTCGAACGGTTAACTCCGAAGGAGCAACGAAGAATGAGCATAGAGAGGCTGGATTCTCAAAAATTTGACTTCGATCCGCGAACAATCGAACGTTTAAAATCATTGGAACGTTACGAGCAGAGAGATCGAATTTACGAAAGGAAGGTGGAATCAAGGAGCGCCGAGCGAAAGAGTCTAGAGAAACTGGACTCGCGGGAGCGAAAATATTTGGGACGCTTAGAATCGCGGGAAGGAAGAAGCCTCGAGTGCCTGGATTTCGATAACGCTGAGCGTAAGAAGAATATTGACAAGGTGGAACATTACAAAGAGCAAAAAAAGAGCAGGAGCAAACCCGAGAAGGGCAAATCGGAGGAGAAACCACGGGAGCGGGACGACTGGAGGAGTTTGGAGAAAGCGCGAAAGGACGACGAGAGACGAGAACGGGAACGACAAGCGAAACTGTCCCTCGAATCTCGTACGGAGACTGTCATTGGCATACCGCATGAAATGGACAATTTAAAGCCGAAGACCGTCTTCACCGAATACGAGCCGAAGGTCATCGGCGGGGTCGTCCTGGGTTTCGAAGAAACCGCGTTGCCTGGTCACGTCCCGGTAGAACGTACGAAGAGTGACCCGAATCCGGCACGACAGAGATTAGGATCCAACAGCAAACGACACATGTTGATGCATCAAAAGTCCATAGATTTGACTCCCGCTGATTCCGGCGATGAAGAACCATTTTCGGATAGTGCGGCGACCATGCAAAAGACTAACGTCGATATACCATACACGTTACACAAAAGACACGTCATGAACGGTACGGCATCTGATGAAAAGTCCGAATCGGATAGCAGCAAGACTTCGAAGAATGTCAAGAGTACTGTCAAGGACTTGCCGAAGCTGCCGTTGAAAATGATAACGGACATTTCCTACTTTGATTTAACTAAGCTTTCCTCGATAGACAAAGCTAGCAGCAAACTATCCCCGGATAAATCGAAGAGCGGCACAATTACTGCCGCAAGACCAAAATCGATATTGAGTCCATCGGACAAGCCGAAGAGTATTTTAAGTCCCACATCGAAACTCTCGCCCACGGATCCAAAGAGTATCGTTTGCAGTTTATCGCCTACCAACAGAAGCCCTTCGAAGGCGAACGCGAAGACTCAATCTTCCGATAAGCTTTCGCAGAAGGGCGGTTCTTTAGATAGAAATAGAACCGAGGTTATCATCAACGAAGATTACACGTGCAAAAAATCTTCTAGTTTGGATAAAAAACCTTCGAAATTATCTCCGATCGAACCGAATGTTACCATTATATCGGCCCTCGAGAAACGTTCGCCCAAAAAATCACCGACCGATCCTAACATAACTATTGTTTCCGTAATACAGAAGAAGAAATCTATTGATGGGGCGCCCAGAAGTCCTACTAACGTTGCGAAAATGGTGGATATTAAATCAAAAATCGCTCTGAATTTTGCGGACGTTGTCAGCATGGAAATGAAACAAAACCTGGAACGTAAGACGAAACTTGAAAAAGATAGTCTGAAAGCGCCGGATGATAGTTTAGAGAAACAAGATAGCATTGAGAAGATACCGTTACCAGAAATCCCCGGCGATGGAAAGGCGGATAATGTGGACGATCAAGTCGGAAAAATTCAACGAGCAATGATTAAAGAATTTGCCCAATCATTGAAACGAACCGTCGATGACTTGTCCGATGATGATCAACGGAAAGAGAACGTACAGTCCGTTATAGCTGAAGTTCATATATCAGCTGCAGCGGAAATAAAAATGGAAAAACCACCGATTCCAGAGAAACCGAAAATATTAGAGAAACCAAGTATTCCCGAAAAGACGAAGCGTATTTTAGAGAGAATAGAATCAAAATTTTCGGAAGTTAGTAAAAATTCCGCTACAAAGATATCGAGACCTAAGATCATCGATACAGGATTTGACGATTTTGTGGATCCAGTCGCCGATTTGCCTTTAGATGAAGTGCCTGTGAAACCTGCTCTAGAGTTGGATAGTCTTAAAGTTCCTGAATTCGTTCCTTTCATGTTGAGACCGCACGCAGAACCGTTAAGATCAAAGTCCCTGTCTCTAGCGGAAGAAAAAGCGCCGATCGATACATTGCTTTCACCGGAAGTCGAGAATAAGCATTTCGTGCAGGATGTTTCTCCGAAAAGAATGAAAAAAATGAAATCAGAACCGAAGAAAGACTTCAAGAAACAATCGAAATCATTGGAGGGTGACAAACCGCCACTGAAAAAGAGTGCGTCGAAAGAGTCGCGTGCACCAGTGGTGAATACAAAAATTGACAAATCCAAATTAAAGCTCGGCGAAATGCCACAAGAGATTATAATTATCGATTCGACTGATGTAGCGCCAGAGGTAAGCATCGTTCAAAAAGGTAGATCGAAGTCCGTAACCAGACTGTCCGACAAGCCATTCTCGACGTCGAAGGACGACAAGGAAGAGGCGAAAAGTACTCGCGCGAAATCCGCGTCAGTCGACGATGAATTGATTAAAGGCACAATAAAATCCGAAAAATCCAGACCCAAATCGCTAGGAATATCAAAGAGCTTGGGAAGTACGGAGAAAAAGGATTCGGTAGAAAAAATATCCCCAAAGAGGACCATCGTATCCAAGACTGCTACTAAGACCGACTCCAAAACCGAGGGTAAATCAGCCATCGCGAGGGACGTGGTATCGAAGCAGGATTCAAAATCAACGCGCGGCAAAGTAGCATCGAAAATAGAAGCTAGTGAAGAGGTTAATGAATCGAAGCAGTCTAAGCTGGAGAAAGATTCTAAATCATGCGTCAAACCTGACGTCGTAATCGATCAACCGATCGAGACTAAACGGACTGTAGTAACGGATGAATCCAAGGAGCTGATCAAGGAATTATTGGCCAAGGAATTAAAGGAACTAACAAAGGACAGCGCAAAGAAAAGCGCGCTTGTTCAAGAATTGACTCAGTCCCCCTTAGTATTACGTAAACCGGGACAAACGCCGATATTGTTTGCTCGCGCGCGTCTTGGTCTTTCCGAAGGTAGCGGGATTGGCGCTCTGCAACGTCAAGGAGCGACGCAGTCACCTACCGCTCAGCGACGCGCCAAGTCCTTGGATGCCGCAGTGATCTCTGTGCACAGACTCCCACCAGCGAACGCGTTCTCCAGCAAGGACGACACGGTGGATGTATCGGAGAATCTGGAGGATCGAGAGAATGCCGAAGAAGCTGCTCGAGAAGGTACGATAACGAAGGCGCAATCGGCGCAGATGGAAGCCTCTCCGAATCACAGATCCGACAGCACCGATCATACAACCATTCCGGAGATATGCACCGATTCTTTGTCCGTCACCGAGACTTCGGCGCAATATTTAGAATCACCATTAACGGAATGCAATGAGATTGTTACCAGCATCGATTTGATACCTTACGAAGGACAAGAGAGTGGGAGACAAATTCCCTTTATTAGTTACATCAATGACAATGAGAATATCATTGAAAGCGCCCAAATAGAAGAAGCCACGAAATTTATCGACCAAAGTTCCGCGGAGTCTGGTGGTGAACAGGAAATATCTCAGAAGAGTTTCGAAGCGACGAAAGCTGACGTGCCTTCGAGAGCTGCTCGATCGGATCAATCATCGGTGATCTTCGTGAAGAGCGCAAGTACGGAAGTTGTCGTTTCCAAGCAAAAGCAAGCCGAACTATCAAAGGATACTATCGAAGATGAAAATGAAGAGGGAAATGTAAAGATTGGCGAAACGACATCAATAAAATCTCCTACTCATCCAGAAGATCTTCGTTCCAAAATCGAAGGTTCCGACCAAAAAGGTCCATCCGAGAGAGATGATGTTCCTGACGTAACCATAAGTGTAGTTCGAGAAGACGAAAAATACTTTCTCCAATATTACGATCAAGATGAGCCTCCAGATATGGTCAAGTCGCCGATACAGATATCCATCGAAGAGTGTTCGGACGACGAAGGAAATCCGGAGGACGAAGAGGAGGAGAGACAGGAGATGGAGGAGATTGACGAACGCGAAGAAGAGGAAAACAAACGACTCGACTCTCTCGATACAAGCGAAGATACGTTAGATGCGCTCGATACGCAAGTGCAAATGCGAGGCGTGGATAGCGAAATGAGCTCCCCGGATTACGGTGTCGATAAGATGGACGAGAAAACGTTGGTCGAAGTCGAGCTGACACCGGAATATCTGGAAATGAAAAGAGAAGACGAGGAGACCGCGGAAGAATTGCCAGAGGACGAGCCTGTCAAAGAAACCGTGGAGATCGCAGACTCGAATCGTTTATCTATCGATAAGAAGCTCAGATTGAGTACCGAACGCTCGAGAAGTGAGGAAACCAACACTTGGACACCGGACAGAGAGGACCCGGATTCCAGTTCGTGTTCCATCGCCCGGCCCCTGGGGATCGGTCAGATACAACCTATAGTAGATCGTCGGGAAATTGCTCTGATCGAAGGCGCTCGCAGTGGTTCCCTAGATGACGATAGCAATGGCTCGCAACCAGCTCCGAAACACGAGATGAGCACTACGTGGAAATCGTTTCCACAAGAGAGTTCCGGTAGTTCCAGTTTGGAGGAGGGCTGGGCACCCCAGGATGAAAACAATGCGCAACAATCGCAATCCGAGGATAGCAACGGTCAAAACGAGGACAGTTTTCAGGAGGATCTAGCGGATTTTCCTGGCAGCTTCATCTATCCTATCGGACCCGAAATATTGGCCAACTACGGCGCGTTTTCGCTTTCTCGTACGCTCTCCAGAATATCCGAGCGATCGACTACATCGGAGCAAGACAAGAGCGACTTGGAAGACTCTTTCAAACCCAGTTCGAGGTCGCCGAGTCTCGATGATGAATCTTTAATGTCGAGCGATCATCAACCATCTTTGTCATCGGACCCCCCGTCTGGCACGGCGTTACCATCTGTTTCGGACGATCGCAGAACATCCTCCGAGCTACCGGATATTCCTATCGACGTGATTGGAGGACAAGAGGACGATTCCAAGTCTCCGCGAGCGAACAGAAGGTCGCGGTTGCAACTACAAAGCTCCGAGGACTGGCCATCGCCCCCGAGTTCACCCGTTTTCGACACGCCTGTGGTAAGCCACGTGGAGACATTCTATATGGAAATCAAACCAGAGGAAGCCGTCAAAGTCACCGTCACGGATAGTACCGAGACCCCTGTTCACGGTGCTGAACGGGACAGCGATTCGAGCGATGAGAATCGAACTCTGCACGACGATCTTCACTCGACCTTTTTGGAGGACGGACAAAGTTCGACGTCTGCGACAACGGTCGACGGTACGGTTAAAATCGCGGTGAAGCCAAAATCGAACTCGTACATAACCGGCTCGTCTCATAGCGAGGACACGTCGATGGGCCTATCCATGTCCGAGTGGTCCAGCTCGAACAATACTGTGCGTCAATTTTGCCAATACTCCGGCACCAAGTCTGACGACAATTCGTTGGCGGAGCTCGGCGCCTCTATCTCGGATTGGTCGGGTAGCACGACGGTGATACCGCAACAATATTACTCCCCAGCGGCCGACAAGAGCCAAAGCGATACCACGACGTCCGAGAGGAGCGCGACCAGCATGAGGCCGAATTCCAAATGTCAGACTGCCGACACCTCTTCTCTTCCCTCGCCACCGTCTCCATCTTCGTTACCCCTACCCGTCTCGCCACCACTGCCTTCTCCACCCGCGACAGCTACCTCCCCGTTTCGATATGATGAGGGTGAAGCTGTTGACTCGACGACCGAGCAATGCGGAGCTTTTCAAAAGATCGGGGAGACTCTCGAGGACGATGATGTTCGTCAAGCTCGAACGCATTGCGACGAATTGGACGAAGCACGACGATTTATCGAGAGTCAATTCGACGAGCATCATAGATTGCGTCGTTACGAGGACGACGACGAGCAGCAGCAGGGCATTTATCCGGAATACGCCGGGATCTCACCGCCTCGCATCACTCTTCGAAACGAGTACGACGAGGCTATCGACGATCTTGACTTCCAAATGCTTCCGGAGGATGAAACGACGCTCTGCGTCGATGACACGGCGCTGCCAATTCCCGAGGAGGATGAGGAGGACCAACTGTACGACAACGTGCCCGCCATGAAGTACTCCAGCGGCGACCAAGTCCGGATGGAGGTTGGCCGCGGGGACAGTTCGGAGGACATGCACGAGAAATACGCTGATCTCACGCTACAATCGAGGCTGGCGGATGACGATTGGTTCTCGGAGGAGCGAAGAGACCTCCCTCCGGAGAGGCCAGGAATGAAAGCATTGGGCAAATTCGATCGTGGTTTCTCGGAGCCGAGCCCTCATGACGCGGGCAGGTATCAAGGCACCCGTTCCACCGAGCGGCCTGTAATGGTGCCAATTCGAGCCAAATCGACCCCGTATTATTCCACGACGAGTCAGAGCGGCGAGTCGACCACGTCCAGTCCGCCAATGCAGATTAGGACGCAGATCAGAACGAAAACAATGCCTTACTCGTCGAGTCGCAGCCCCCAAAGCGAGGGGGACACTTCCTCGAGCATGGACAGTCCCGCGCACACCCCCGATCGGGGCCAACGGGCTTTCCGTAGGAAACGTCAGCAGAACGCCAAGAGACGACATCGCGTTGTCGTCGATCTCGAAGTTAAGGACGGCCATATAGTCTCCAGCACCGACTCCAGCTTCGACGTGGCCACGATACCACCGCCTCTGCTGACGGAGAGCCAGAATCTCGACATGGACGATGACGAGGACGATGAGATGTCCGAGGCGAAGGACGAACGACGTCGCCAGCAGCAGCGTTGACGCGATTCCCAAACAACGTTGACGATGATTCTTAAATAGAGGCGCCGAGGGGACAGAAGGAGAGACGGAGAGGATAAATAATTAGCCACACTCGTCTGGGCTTAAATCGATAGGACCCCCACGAGAAATACGTAGAATCGATCGATCTTTAGAAGCGGACGCGTTGACGTTTCTCTCTCGTATCTATCGCACGAACCCAAGATCAATCGCAAAACCCGGATCGACAACTCTGGCCTTTGTTTTCGCAAACGATCACGAATTCAACGATGACGATTAAACGCTCAGCGATCGAGAATTATATTATACGGGTATGTTCGAGGCGAAACAGTTACACCATTAACGACGGCGAAAGGGTTTGGGAGACCCAAACGAGAATGATCAAAATCTGCACGAAGAGAATTTAGCATAATTATCGTTAGAGATACGGAATAATACACACGTTTGTTACACGTTTTAGAGAGACCCGGTTTACTTTGATATTACTATCATAATAGAACTCCTTCGGAGACCCCCTATCCCCCCCCCTCCCCCGATTCCCTTCCTCCTCGTAGACGAGTACTTGGCAAGTACTATACTCATGCATAACACGGAAAGCGAATATCTTCATTATTACGATCGACGTGCACAATCGACGCGTTATATCCTAGTAATAATAATAATAATAATAATAATAATAATAATAATAATAATAATAAAATAATAATAATAATAATAATAATATACGACATTATAAGATAGAGATCGAAAGAGAGCGACGCGTAGAATTTTCGAGAGAATAATCGTAAATTTAAGTCGTATATATAAAACCGCGTAATCATTTTTAACCCTTTAATCGGTCCAATCTTTATTTGGGTTATCGCACGAGATAGTCCCCAATCTTTTCATCCTTCACGCTCCCCTTCCTCTTCCAGCAGTAGTCTAAAGAAATCTTGTGTGCTGGAGTAATTAAATAAGTAATATTTTCTTTTTCTTTTTTTTTTTAAGGATGTTTTGTATGTACAATTCCAGCAAAAAGTAGCTGAAAATCATTATTGACGAATATCCACTTTTGGTGTATTTTGAGTATGAGAAATTGTGTGGAATATTATAATTTGATCTTAGCTACAGTGCAGAGATGTATTTTTTAATATTTATTGCGTTTTTACTGAAATATTCCAAATTTTGTTAATCGAAATGATTAAGGATGTTTTGTACCTATTTTCAAAATATTGAGAATTTAATGAAAATTGTACAGAATGTCCTTACATATGTTTAGAATCTTCAGTATAATTTTGAAATCGATTTACTAAAGCGTTCACAAGTTATAAGGATTTTAATTTGCACCGAATTAACATGTATTCTAATGGGAAACGTATAATCACGTCGATTCAAATGACAAAAACACATGGAAATAATATTCAGAATTTGTTTAAAATTTGTAAAAGTTTATAGAGGACATATTTGGTCAAATAATATTATACAAATAATAACTGGTTAAAAAGATATTAAAAATAATTTAATGAAGTTAGCTATGTATCTGTCACAAGGCGAAATTGTCTGTCGAAAGTTAATCATTTCGATTAACAAAATTCGGAATATTTCAGTAAAAACGCAATAAATATTAAAAAATACATCTCTGCGCTGTAGCTAAGATCAAACTAATATTCTACACAATTTCTTACTCAAAATACAAAAGTGGATATATTCGTCAATATTAATTTTCAGCTACTTTTTGCTGAGATTGTACATGCAAAACATCCTTAATATAACTTTGTTAGAATCACATCTAACTCCTACGGCACGTGTATTCGTGTTACGCTAAACGCAGCATTAAAGGGTTAAATAGAAATCACACGGCGTTTGCAAAAGTGACACTACTCGGTCGCGCGACTTGAATTCACCAAGGACAATCAATTGCAAAGAGTAGAGATCGCCGAGAGATCTTTCTTTCTCTGTCTCTCTCTTTCTCTCTCTCTTGAGGGAGAGAGGAACAAATCGAGGCGGAATAACCGGTTCGTCGGCGATTGTTTCCAATTCAGAACTGAATTCCAAACAGCACATAATTGTAATAAAAATGCGATCTATGATTTCGCCGCGGTTCGGTTCACGTATGACGATTATAGAAGGAAGAGAACAATTGCTCAACATAGATACATAAACGTGGTATACGTATTTTTTTCTTCTTCGTCGAAAATTCGTCATGGGAGTCCAGTCGCAATCCTATAGTAAGATGAGAAAAACTCGCGTGAAGACGAGTTTCCTCCGCTACACAGACCTCGTCAACGTTAATCTGTCAATTTATTTTTACTTAAACGGATAAATCGTTGAAAAATACGCAGATCGCGAACCGAGAGATTTTAGACGTGTCCCACATTAGATCTCGTAGAAAATTGTTACTAGATTTTATTATTTATTTTGTTATCTATTATACAGGGATAAAGATTACATGTAGACAGAGGTAGTATTTCCGGATACTTGCACAGAGAAAAATGTATACTGTATTCAAGTAAATATTATTTATTTTAAGTACATCACAAGTTTGTATATCCGCAAATATATCATAAATTCACCACAAGCATTAAATTTAATTGAATATATTCTGAATTTTAGTAAGTGCAGTATTTTAGTCAAGAATATTAAATTAAAACAAAAATTTGGTTTGCTTACTACAAGAGTTGACGTAAAGTAAGTTTGATTTTTCTTTGATACAACTTTACAATATTCTTGAACAGAAAATAAATTCTTCTTTTGAGTACATGATAATGAGATTTTCTAACACTTGTGATGAGTATATTTGAAGGCTATTATCAAGAATATATTCTTTATTGAAGAAAACTATTACTTAAAAAAAGAAAAATGAACTGAGAGTAATCGCTTTTCTTGGCAGTTGAATGATATTTTTCTCTGTGTGGCTGTTTTTTTTTTGTCCATTCGAGGAATTTTTTATTCGAGGCTAACGACATACGTGCATACATTTACTTGTCACGATTATTCGTTTCCTTAGGCCGAAGGTTTAAAGGAAGAGTTTTGTGGCGAGAGATTTATGAGAGAAATGTCCGAGGAATCTCCCAGTGAGAGACGCGCTACCGGAACGTGTTAACCGGAAGGAAAGAAAATTAAAAAAAAAAAGGAATCCGTGCAAGCCGATAGGAAGTCCCATTGGTTTCAGCTTGTATTGTGCCTAGTTTTTTATACCACGTTCGTCGCATGCACAATTTAATGATAGTGAGGCGTTAATGAGTCGTCGCGTACACGTGCGTGTGCGTCGTGTGCCTGTCGACATTCTTAGATAGGTAAAATATACGTAAGCGTAGGTATTGATTACACAAGAGAGAAAATGAGTGCACTGCTGTGCATTGTGATGGCTGTTACGAACCTAGTGTGTGTTTGTGTGTATTCCAAAGATAACAATTATGAATTGTACGATTTACAAGGAATTTGAATGCATATTCTCGGAGAAACGCAATTCTGTTCATTCCTCTCGAATTACACATACGGAAATCTCCAACTATTACAATTACTTCAAACTTTTAATCCTATTTAGGGCTATTAATATTTATCTATCTTATTTATAGGATGATCTCTGATATTTTTAATTTTATTTTTCTTAGATTAGATAAACTCTGTATATGTTTTAATTAACGTCATAGATTTTAATCGAATCTATTTTTTATCTATTGTTAAGTACATATTTTAAAATGTAAGATTGAGTTACATAATTTTTGAAAATATTTGAAGTAATACACTTTTTCATACGCAGAGTTATCACATTTTAAATATGACGGATAAATTTAAAAAATTTCTTAGATTAGATAAACTCTGTATATGTTTTAATTAACGTCATAGATTTTAATCGAACCTATTTTTTATCTATTGTTAAGTACATATTTTAAAATGAAAGATTGAGTTACATAATTTTTGAAAATATTTGAAGTAATACACTTTTTCATACACAGAGTTATCACATTTTAAATATGACGGATAATGACGGAATTGAAAAAATTAAAAGGGATAAAAGTAGATCCGCATATGGAACTGCAGGGTTAATTTAATATTTTATGAAACTGAAATTAAGCTCTTAAAACGTCCCTTTCTCATTACAGAGAACGTGATCATTTAAATGGCAGCTAAAACAATATATCTTTAAAAGTCCATTTTGTTGCTAAAGTATACACAACTTTCAAATATATATTTATAGTAAATATAATTAATTGCAGCAATAACTCGTCAATAAACGTTCAGGAGTTGCAGCAGTTTCTGATAATGAACCGTGATCGTTATATTCTATCGATATATCGGAAATTTTCTGTAATATATATGCAAGTGTCGCTATTATGCAGTTACGTTTAATCGTTATTCAATTATCGCATATTATACAGAGTGGCCCCGAATGTTCCAGCCAGACTTTGAAATTTTATAGGAAATTTAATTCTGAACAAAAAATTTCCTATAAACATGGGTATAAATAATTTTTATCATTTTTCATAAAATAATTTTTTTTTAACTAACTTTTATTTTATTTTCATAAAAGAAAAAGATTTTTATTTTTTATTTTTATCGTTTTTTTTTTTTCAAGAAATTTATTTAGTTTCATTTTCTTTTTATTTCATTTTCTTTTCACCTTTTGCTCTTCCTTCATCAGAGATTTTTGAGCGATAACTTCTTAAAGAAGCATTTTTCGACTCATGTTTATAGGAAATTTTTTTGTTCAAAATTAAATTTCCTATAAGATCTCAAAGTCTGGCTGGAACGTTCAGGGCCATCCTGTATATTGAAAGAATACACAATGCAAAGTATGCGAAATACAAAAAGAAACACAGCCATTGAATTGAATAATAGCATGCCATTATTTTGCTCGATAAATTAGCGATCACGATGACTGTTAGGTTTAATATTTAAATATATTGAATTTTGTAGCATATTTGTACATTGAATTCAGATCAAGTTTATTTATATCAAGAATATACTCTATATGTCAGAGCTTCGCGGGGGTTGGATTTTCTCGTACATCTCGTACATAT